AAGGCCAAGAGAAGGAGGTGAGATATCATCTCCAGTCTGTTTTAGCCCTTTGTCTCTACTTACATTCTTTATTCTAGTAGCAGCATCGTGCAAAAGTCAAAGACTGCCCTTCATCTATTTAATTTCCAGTCAAAAGCACAAGTACAAGTTAGGAACAAATCTTTCAGGAGATATTTTAGAGGACATTAGATATGTGATAATTCACTTCCATAAGGAAGGGTAAAGTCAAAGGTGTGAAAAACAGGAGTTTCCAAAAGTCAAGTTCAAAAAAAAGATTAAAAGATGCAGAGAAAATGGGACTCCTAATAATCGTGCAATACCTGGTAGACCACCAAAACCGTCACCAGCTAATCTTACTTAAAGCTTACATCTTTTCGAGATTGGAGATATACATGTTTTCTGCTTCTTTTCTGATGCTGAAAAATGAATAACTTAATGGCTATTTTGACTGGAAATTAAATAAAAGAAGACCTTTGGACAGTATTGTAAATGTACTGTCTGTTAAAGATTCTGGACTCCTTCTTAGACAAAACTGAAAACTACATGCAATAGTATCTTCATATGGTGCTGTTGGAATCCCAATGGAATGAACTGCTCTGTTGTTTAGAAATCACTGATTGTGGCTTTAATTATTATTATTGTATGTCATTGTTCTTTTACATCAGGGTGACTTGGAGGAAGACAATACAGCACAACTGGGCCGAGAGGCCAAGAAACAGACGAGGGGCCCAGAGTTCTCTGACCTTTCTGCCAAATCATGTGCAGCGATTGTTTGTGAAGTACCCAGTAGTGGGCCTGTGAGTGCATATGTCTTGTAAACAAACCTCTTCTGTCACAAAAGGCCAAATAGAGACCTTGCATGTCTTTATGATTCAGCTTCCACACACTTGCCCTACTTTCTGTCAGAAACTGAAATAGCCCTTTTAATTTTGCTGCTTGGAGATTTCACTGCTTTACATTTTCGATTAAAACTGTATGCGTTTATGTGAGTTGATGTGGATGTAATTGTTTAATTTAAATAATTAATTTACAGACACATGCAAAAGTTTGAACACCCCTGGTCAAATGACTTGTTTTGTGAAAATAAGTACACATCCTCTACAGGGAAAAGACTTAAATATAGCATTTTTCTGTAATTTTTAGTGCACAATTTCTAATTATTTGACATTTATTTGCTATTTCTATTTATTTATTTATTTATTTGTTTGGCATATTGGGGAAAAAATAAAACATAAAATATTTAAAAATGTGCCATAACTTATTTTCACCTAGAAAATCAACAAAACATGTAATTTTACCAAGGGTGCCCAAACTTGTGCATACAGCATCTAATGTGTGTGGTGTTTTATTCCCAATTCAGATGCATAACGGAGATGAATGGAACCAGAGCGGTTTGGGTGGGCTGTACAACTTGCCGGCTGAATACAACAGACCCAAATCAGCTCAGCAGTTAGTTGCGGGTTCTGTAAAAAGCTCACCATCAAACAGTACCACCAGTGGAGAAACTGACTCAACTCTCATTTTCCCCTGCACTGAATGTGGAAAGTAAGATGCAGTTGAAACACAGTGAAATGTATCAACAGTTATCACACTTGGTAATGTGGCTTGTGTTATCTAACTATCCATCAAGGTGCCTATTTATTGTCAAACCAAACTATCCCTTCATCTCATTCTCACAGGGTTTTTTTTAAGGTGAAAAGTCGCAATGCCCACATGAAGACTCATCGTCAACAAGAAGACTCACAGTTTTGGCCGCTTCATAGACTTCCTGAACAGGAAAACCAGACTGTGACACCTGCCAACCCTTCTGTTACACCACTTCAGCCACCCACAACTCCTCATTCTTTACCTTGCAGCAGCGGTGAAGCATTACTCATTAATGATGCAGATACACTGCAACAAGCGGACTGCCTCTTGCGGAACCAGAATCTTAAAGAGTGATTTCACAAACTTTGGAGGTCAAGAGAAAACTGGGTGGTACTGTCTTTTAATAAAATCTCTGTGGTAATGAATTTACCACAGAACACCTAGTCTAGAGAAATAACATCAAATATATAGCCTAAATGAGACACTGTGTAATTAAACGTGGAGTGAAGGTGTGCTCTAACTGATGTAATGTACAATAATAAAATATAATTTGATGGCATGAAATATAAGTACCATGTTTCTTTATGCCACGCCTGGCAGAACTGTTTGTTTCCTGTCTCTGAATAACAATAGAAAATATTTCACATGCTTTGTTTCAGCCATCACAATGCTTATGTTAGCCTAATTCAGAGAGCTGTTGTCCATAAAATGTTAAATGCAAAGGTTAAGAAGTGACTCTCACTTGGCAGACATTAGGGTGTGTTCTGTCATGTCACATTCTGACATGAAACACAAGCCTGGCTGTGTTGTGTGAGTTGTTTTGTGGTGTCACAAACACCAACACATTTACAAATATCCACCTATTTAGCCTACAATAGTTTAGCCCCGTCCACTCATAGTGAAGTTATAAGGAGTGTTTCAGTCTGGACTGCTTTTTGAATGAGGCACAATACATGGCAGCCAATCAGAATAGAGTCAGTAACAAGACAGCCTGTTTACTCCTAAAAGATAAAAAAAAAAAAGCTTGAGAAATGGTAATGTAAAATGAATAAGGACTGTTTTGGTACATAAAACCACAAAAACTTTATAAGTAACTCTCAGGGGGGAAAATAAAATGCAAGAAAGATGTAGAATATGGCTCTTTTAATTCTTCATGTGCTAGTAATCAATTTATTCCAGTATGAGATGTAACTGCTTTGAGATGTAACAGACATTCACCACAAGAATCAAACATAATCTATCCTACAGTTCCTTTAAAATAATGAAATTGGAGGCATGAATACAACAGACCCAAATCAGCTCAGCAGTTAGTTCCCACATCTGACAACAAAACAGTGCTGTCAGAGTGGGATTCGTACCCAGATCTCCATGAAAGACCTGTTGTCAGTGTGTCAAAGCAACAGAAATCTTGGAGGATGTTGAACAGTATAACTGCAGCCAAGTGGGAAATGTTTTCCTGCTCAAAACATCCAAAATTGGACCAATAGCAGTGGAGGAATTTTGGAGTTATGTATGTTGTGCCTGAGTCTATGGGAGGCATGGCATCAACCAAGCCATCAGCCTGAAATCAAATGTGGAGTTACAGTTAGTCAGCCAAATTCAAGAATAATAACAATCAGGATTTAAAGATATTCTATGTTATATAGGCCTAATTATTGTAATGTTACATGACCTATTCTAGTTGTCTCCTTTTCCTTATTTTGTTAGTGTTACAGAGCTTCAGGCTTCTTTAACAACTTCTTTACAAACACTGAAGTTCATGTCTGAGCCTGAGGAGACTGATAAAGCAAATTGATGAGCCAGTTATTTCTCTCCAACTCCTTTAAAGGATGATGGAACTGAACCAGGTGGTTGCAAGGTCTACAATGCAAATAGACATTTACTATATAAAACCAAAATCTGAAAAAGTTTTCTTTGAGTGCTGTTTCGAGTGAATTAAAAAATGTTTCAGGCCAAAATCTTATATCAAAAAATAAAGCAGCAATCATTCGATATACCAGCTTTCTGTGATGTAGCATTTAGAGTAAGCACTTCAGATGTTTGCTTCCTATCACCTCCGCTAATAACAATCCTGACTCTGTAGGTTTCTGTAGAGTTGAGCATTTCAAACCTGTCTGAATGACTGGTTACATCTTAATGTTTTAATTATGCAGTTTTAAAAGGGTGTAATTCCCCTTTAAGGAGTAACAAAGTGGCCTAATGCCTAAGTCTAAGGGCTTAGTAGGTCTCAGACACAGCAATGATCAGTTTAAGAACTGTTCAGAAGGAAGCCCTTCAGCTCAGCTGGCTTGTTTTGATAAGGGCTCTAGTGCCCTCATGTGGACAAGAAACAGGAACTGAGCATAGTTCAACTCTGCGTCACACCATGCAGCCAATCCTTAGACAATATTAACCTTTAACTACCTGATCAATCATAGTACTGAACGGGGACTAATTAACTACTGTGGCAACCAGTCTGGAGCTAGAATTTTCCTAGGATCAATATTTTTTATGCTAATATCAACTGATACTGTGATATATTTGGAAAATATTGTGATATTGATTGTTATCAGTGTTGCCTAGCATTATCTGAGGTCACTGCAGTTGACACTAAAAAAGTAAGTTTATAATACAATAAAGTCAGTACATGCACATGTACGTGCTGATAACCAATGTTTGATTTATATAACAACCTCCGTAATAAACTGTGTGTGAGAACACTGATAGCATAAATTAGATCGTGTCCTGTGTAACAATGCCATAAATTAGTCTCTGTGCTGTGGGACAGATGGGTCATCATTACTATTAAGCTGTCATTATTACAGTCATTATGACAGAAACTTAACTGACAGTGTATGTTCGGTCTGACTTCTGTAACAGTAAATCATGTTGTATTTCTTTTCTTCATTGTATTAAGCAATCTGCTTATGGGCCTGTCAAAGGGGTCTAGGGGCAGCAGACTGCTGTGGAGTGAGTTCAGAGGACTCTAAGGTCAGCTTCACTCAAATGAACAATGCTGGACTTTTCACGATACAATGACTAATTGATATTCTGATCATTTCATTTTTATATCATGGGAACACTGTATTAGTTTCCATACATAGTAATTTCTCATCTGTTGGTAATCAATATAAAACAGTTTGAGATGGAACTGCTTCTAGCTCCCTAAGTCGGCCCTTTACGTGGTCCACGTTAATAAGTCCAAAATGAAAAGTGTTGTCAGAAGTGGGATTCGAACCCACGCCTCCAGAGGAGACTGCGACCTGAACGCAGCGCCTTAGACCGCTCGGCCATCCTGACATCTACAATGGCACGAAGAAACCATTAGACTTGAAACAACCGGACGTTTTTGGTGTGCTATTCACCTAAAATTTTCTCTATCAATGACTGAAACGCCATAAACTAAATTAACTGTTTGCTAGATTGCGAACTAGCCCAATTCTAATCCTGGTTTTCTGCTTGCTGTGGTTGTCCCGTATGAGTGAATTAGCGTCTCTAGCCCAACATGCTAACACTAGCTAACTTAGCGGGCTAGAAAGGGTGTTCTTACCGGCTACGAATAGACTGCGCGGTTGCTGAGCCACATTATTCAACTGTTTACGGTTTAGGGCAACTATTATGTGTCTATACCATTAAACATGTAGCTAGCGTTAAATATCACCAGGCTTAACAGCGCAACTTATCTTCTGGAACTGATTCGGGTGAGTTAGCTGACTAACTTAGCGTTAGCTAGCTAGTTTGCAAACTAGCTTCACTGAGATTGGCGTAACGTTACTTAGCTAGCTAGCAGCCATCCAACAGTTAGCTTGTAGTCTAATGTTAATAAAATTTACAGAGAGCCACTGCATGTAAGGATGTCTGCATGATGAGGTCATTTTTAGTAACCGTTGAAAATGAGTTTTATTTAATCAGACAATTCGCAAACGCTACATAACGTACACAAGCCAGCACATCAGTGTAGTGCTTAGTGTTATCTCAACACAAACTGTAGGTTAAAAAATGTCATTAAGGCAAACTTGTATAGTATCAGAGCGATTCCGATTCTGTGCTGAGCGTATGCTAACCTAGAAGTCGAGCTAACTGGGAGATTTTCTAGTTAGGTTCGCTCAAATGACAAGATATATTTACACCAGTAGCTGTACTGCAGGGTAAAAAAATGTTACAGCGCCGTTTTAATGGGTATCACTCTGTTGACAGGTCAGTGACGAATTCATGACTACAATGGCATCATCTCCGCCTCACAACTTCTCTTGGGTTGAACCTCAGAAACTGGCTGGCCTGGCGATGCCACGAATGCCTGGTCACTATGAGTACCTGCTGAATAACGGTATCAAACACTTAGTCAGTTTGTCTGAGAGAAAGCCTCCTTATCATGACACCTGTCCACGGTTGACGTTGCATCACATCAGAATACACGACTTCTGTGCTCCAACGTTTGATCAAATCAACCGCTTCTTGACTATAGTGGAAGACGCCAATTCAAAAGGAGAGGTAAAAGAAAAAAAACACTATTTATCTGTGTTTTTACATAGTCAAATGCGTATCACTTACATTCATGTTTGGAAACTTGTTCTTGTCTGCATTAGGGTGTCGCAGTGCACTGTTTGCATGGCTTTGGAAGAACAGGGACAATGCTGGCCTGCTACTTAGTGAAGACCAGAAAAATCAGTGGGATTGAGGCCATTAATGAAATCAGAAGGATACGCCGTGGATCTATTGAAACACGAGAACAAGAGCAAATGGTAGTGCAGTTTTACCAGCAAAATAAGTACTGAAACTTACAAAATATATATGAAATAAAGTTAAATTATTAATGAACTGGACATTTTTCGTTATTCATTTTAATGTGACTAATAATGGTACACTGAATTAATAACCTTAATACCAATGTAAAAGAGATGTCAAAAAGAGCAAAACATCCTACACTTCACTGAAACCTGTGTGATACCCTAAAGCAACACAGAACTAAAGCACTGTGATTAAAACACATCTATTTTGTTCTATCTTTATTACAATGAGGCTATACACATTTCTAGTAAATTTCTGCATTATTACATGTGTAATGTGAGTTATCAGTGTTGAAGCATTATTAAAAACGAATTGCTAAATTTACTGGGGAATATGATGTATTTACTGAAAAGGCAGTGATCATTTTACACTAGAATTATATACATTTAAGACAATCTCTAATCTGCCTGACACATTTAGTAGCTGTTGAACTGCTAAGGCTACAATATTATACTATGATCACAACATATAAGAAAATGACAGTGTCAGTGACAGTGACAAATACAGTGACATGATCATGATACTTTGACTTTGTATGGTTCATTCATGGTCAAGGAAAACAGCTGTTGTCGCTCCCTGAAGGTCAGATTCTCTGGTTCTCTTACATTCTTGAAGTTCTTGTGTTCTTGATTGAGTTGACTGTAGTGGGATAAAGCACACATAGCATGTACATAAAAAAATGTGTATGCATGAGAGAGTGAGTCTGTATGTGAAGGTTAGTGTATTTCTAAGTTAAATTTTTTTATTTTATATGTTGTAAGAAATAGAATAAAGCAATAAAAGCATAGTAACATGGTTAAAAATTGAAAATTACTATGAAAATTTAGAAAACATAATCTTTGCTCTCAGGAATTCCAATTTCTATATTCAACATAAAGTTGATGCCTCATCATTGAACAAATAAGAATGAGTCAACTTTAACCTAGCCACTTCTGGGATGTTTCATACTGTATGTACAGTCGTATGCAAAAGTTTGAACACATCTGGTCATGTTTGTTGAATTTCTAAGTGGAAATAAGTTAACACATCCTTTACAGGGAGCCAACGTAGATATGGCAGGATTCTGCAAATTTTACTGCACAATTTCTGTTTATTTGCTGTTTATTTTGCTTAAAACATTGAAGAAAAAAACAGCCACAACTTTTGCAAACGTCACTTTTTAGTATGCCAAATTCAGCAAATAAACATTAACACTCTGCATTAAAATGTGCAGAAGTGGGTTTCCTGTAGAGGATGTGTTGATTTTCACTTAGAAAATCAACAAAACATTATTTGACCATGGACACCCAAACTTTTGCATATGACTGTACTATGAATGAAGGAAACTTACCCAAAGGAAACTCTGACATGCTGGGTGTTAGTTTCAGAAGACCTTTCATGAACTGCATCTGCAATTGCAGTAAATGATGTAACAGTTACAGAAAACAGCCAGCTATTTTCACTGTATTTGGCTTTCACACGTTCAATGAAGCACCTTTGAAGCTGCTGTTTTCAGCAGGATGGTCTGTCTGTTCTTGTGCCAGTTGAGCCTGACTCTCACAAAGCTTCTGTCCATTATGCAGCTCCATTGCCTTGGACTGGAAGAACCACTAAGATCAGAACTGCTGCATAACAATCCACCCTATAATATTTTGTCTAGTTGGTGTGTAGCCAATGTATTGTAAATAAACAGCAGAAACATTCATTTTCACTTGTAGGATCTGATGCAATAATGTATTTTTAATGTAGTCATGTTTAAGAGCTAGCTCAGCTAGGTTTGCCCTGTTAACTCTTGCCATGATAGGTGCTATGAGTGTAAAACACATGGATTTACAGTACTCAGTAGTAAATCCACCTACCTGCTCATTGCTTTTCAACTCAGTCTGCTTCATTATGGTCCCCCCTATGTTGTCCTCATCTTCCTCCTCATCATTGTCTTCTCCATTCTGCTGGAACTCCTGTAGCCTCTTTTGAAACTGCCATTCAAGGGAGAGTCTGCGCAGGCGTTCACTCTCCCCTAGGGTGCGTTCCACTTTGGCCTGCAACTGCAGCACTTCCTGCTCCAACAGGTTCACTGCCTGATGCCTCTGCTGTTTCTTCAACTGCTCCCGGGCCTCCCTCTTCCATGGATCTGGACAAAGGCCACCTCCAGCACGCTGCACATCGCTCTTCTTGACCGTCTTATACTCTTGTGGCCCAAAAGTGTCACCTGAATGTGAGGGGCTCATCTTGTTTGTGTTCTGAGGGAAAGACTCGCACACTATAGCTTGCATTGTTTCACAGGCCTTACCAGGTTTCTGAGTTGAGATGTAAGATTGAAGTAGCTGCTTGGATGCCAGCGTTGGACCTTTGTGTTGTTGTGAATGGTAGCTATGCAATGCAGAGATTTGCTGTGAGTTTCTGACTTGGCCATAAGCAGGAGTCAAACAGGTTGATTTGAGATTAATGCTGTTTGCTGCCGGCACGGGGCGGCGGAAAGTGCCAAATGATAGAGTGTTGGTTGGATGGGACAAAGGGACATCTATCCGCTTTGGCTGTGACACAGGCATAGACTGAGGTGCCGCTGAAATATTCCACGGTCCACCTATGTTTCTCCTCTCCAATTCTGTTGTTTGTTGGTCACTCCATTTGTCCAAATTTAGTGGTCTGTCCACTAGGGGGCCTCCTCTGTCCATATAAGACAGATTCTCTTGAGAACGAGCCTGTTTCTACAAATGAGTACAGAGGTGCACTTCAGTACTGAAAATGTGTATGTATAAACATTGCTGTAAAACTTGTTCATTAATAAAAAACAAAATCATTTTAAACATAATACATGCATACCACAGAAGTTACATTGTCTTGACCACAGGAGAATGTGGAGAAGATATGAGGTTGTTCAACATTTCTTGGCGCTTTACTGCCCTGAAGTCTAGACACTGGCAAGGTTAGATATTCCCTGTAAGATCCAGTCTGATCAAGACAGAGCTTTGAAATGCCAGATTCAGATTCCTCCTGGAGGGAAAATCAGGTACATACATTGTATTAGTTGTATTACTTCACAGACAATTATTCATAAATACATACAAAAAGTTAGTTATAAATACAGGTGGGCAATATAACAATATTTTATCGTTACTGTGATAAATTTTGTCACTGTGATCAACTATATGCTTTTCTGAGCACATTGTGAATATCATCACTACCAAAAGAACAATGGTCAAGTGCATGTTTCAAGAGAGTGTAATAGGCCTATAATAAGATTTGGTGCAGTACAGCATGTGAAACTTTGAATAAACACTGTGTGCATAGTTTTAATAGCAGTTTTCAATGTGTCATTATATCATGATACATATTGTGTGTCGTGAAACTGTATTGAAGTATGGTGATATATTTTTGCCATATTGCCATCCGTAGTTAAAAGGGCCACTATTTATTGTACATTTCAAAGTGATTATGAAGCCCCATTCCTGCAATCATTTCACTGTGACATAGAAGACCACTGATTCTGATCTAAGAAGTTGCGTAAGTAGTAGCCATTATCTTAGAAATGAAAAAAAAAAGTTACAAATGATTACTCACACCAGCAATGATATTGTCAGTGGAGACCGATGTGATCTGCTCATGTATGACTGAATCAACAGACATTTCCTCAGAATTCTGAAGCACATCTGTGAAGACAAAGAGAAAACGTAAAGTCAAAGCGCTACAGAGAGCATGCAGTCCAATTTTTTGGGGCACTTACATGCCAAGTTGGGGTTTGAGCGATACTCCAGTCTGTGCTTGAGCCATTTCTGGTCTTGCTTCCTGATTGCTTTCTTGGCTGTGTGGTGATTTCCCTGCACGCCTGGCAGTGTTGAAGCAGCACATACAATCTGTTTTGAAATGTCATTCACATCAAGACCACTGGATGTCTGCATGGCCTGTTCACCATCAGCACCATCTAGTAAAAGCAAAACAAGAATGAAGGCTAGTTTTCATATGGCCAAAACTGTTGGCGTTAAACAAAAGAACATTTCAAATGCCAATCACATCATGGGTCCTGCTGACAGCTGAGAAGCTTCAGTGTACTGTATTACAGGGGGCACCCTGTATAGCCAAAAAGGGTCGGTGTGGCTGCAGGTTTTAATTCCAACCAAGCAGGATCACACCTCATTTTACTAAAAAGCTGTTTGACGATTGAGACCAACTGATTCAACAAGTGAATCAGGTTTTTTTATGCTTGATTGGAATGAAAACCTGTAGCCACACCTGCCCTTTGCTGATGAGATTGGTGATCCCAAATCCCACATGAAACGGCCTAAGTGAATAATATCACAGTCATCTTTTATTTGTTGTGCTGTGGTTTAAATATATTATCAATGTGCTATTGCTTGCTATAAGTTTTGATTTTTATATACATCATAGGCCAGGCCATTGCTTTTATTCACCTCTAGATGTTGATGGCTGGTTAAGCACCTCTTCCAGACCATAATAAACAGCTGCTAACTTTGCAATCTCCAGGCTTATGGATGATCCAGTGCACATCATTATTTCAGCAGCCCTGTTACAAAATATGTATCTGTCAATTGTCTGTTTGCATTAATGTAAGATATTAGCATGCCATATATTATTTATTAAAATCACCGTTCTTGTGATACTCCAATAAGACTCTTGCCATCCACACTAAGTAACTGGTCCCCAGGAGCCAACCGGCCATCCTAAACAACATGCACATGAACGAAAGCATCAACAAAATAAAAATTGTTATTCATATTTAATATTCTTTTTTCATGTCACCTCCTAACTAGACTCACCACATCTGCTGCTCCCCCACGAACAACAGATTTGATGAAAATTCCCAGCTTCTCTTGTCCAGCTCCCTGTATAACACACATTTAGAAATCAGCTGACAAATTTGTCTTTATCGCTTGTCTACATGAATTGTATATGATGGTAATTATTGAATAGACAAACTATGATAATTACAAACAAAACTGACAAACAAGCTTTAACAAAGAGGGTGCAATTGTATCTATTGGTGCTCCCTTCACCTTTGCTGCTACGATGCTTATGCCCGTTCCACTTCGCAAAGGTTTCTTCAGTACGATTTTCACAATCTCAGGTTTCTAATATTAACAACAGAAACAAAATGAGTGAGTTTTTACACAGTAAAGCTGTTCATCTATTATGGACATCTCAGATTTTGTGAATGGAAGAACTTACACAAATTGACCTGTTCATAGGGACACTGTCTGATGTCTTGAAGTAAACAGTCCAAGACCCAAGAGAGAGGCAGTGAGGGATTAGTTTACAAAGGCCTGCAGGCAGTGCAAGCATAAAGACCAGTAAGAGAAGGACAGAAAATGAAACAACATGTTCATACACTGATAAGAATTTTGTAGATATTATGAAAGTATGTACCATTTGTTAGTCAGACATGCAGCATGCTTCAGCACTGACTTAAATGTTGTTTATTAAAGTGAAACATCACTGATTTTAGACATGGTATCCTGTGACTGTGCCTGTGGCAAACAGTACATTGTAAAATAGGGGTGGAAAGAGGACGTTACTTTATTGTTATCGTGATAAATTTTGGTACAATATGCTCTTTTGATTATATCAAGGATATCGCCTTATAACTTCAAAATCACCAACTGCATGTTTCAAGTAAACATAATTAGTACTATTTAATTGGATTTAAGACATTATGTGAAACATTAAATAAAAATCATTTTACACACAGTTTTTGAGAGTATTTTAAATGTGGCTCTACTGTTTCTTTGTTGCCTGTTCCAACTGATCGAATCTCAGATGTCTATAATATAATGTTTAACATTATATTAATACCGCAGTATCAATGCATGTCAGCGCATCTTGTGGTTCCTGAGCTAGCTTTTAGTTGTCTGTAAAACTGACTCCCAGTGAATCAAATTAGTATGAAAACTATAGGCAGCAGTGACCTGGTTCTACCTATCTATCACGGGTTCTACCTGCTGCAGAACCCATGAAACTGGTAAGGATGTCCTTATGCCACTGCAATGTAGGGCGACAGTTAGATCTGAAGAGTTGACTATTGGTACTGACAGTTTTTAAAGCTAAAAAAAAACCTCTGAAACCTCTTTGAGAATGGAAAGATGGATTTCTCAGGCTCTGATGGAATAATTTAGGAACATACTTGCTCTGGTTATTTCCAGGATGCTTAAGTATTTTGAAGTGGTCATATACAACAGTTGTGAGATCTGTGAAAATAAATAATGGTTGAGACATATTTACCTCTATGGCACATTGGCTCCAGAAACTCTTGAAAACCCTTTGGAATGCCTTGCAGTATCTCACATGAGTAACCTTCCTCAGGGAGCAAGAAAGGCAGATGAAGGTGTAGGTCCTCCTCTATTCTGATGTCCCTGCCTTCTTTGTTCAGCACCTCATTTTCTGTGCTCTCTGCCATGGCCACCACACTCTCAATCAGACCCTATAATGATACAAAAATGTTTCTACAACAATTTTCTAGATTCTCCTGTAGCAACATTTAATATATGTGAATAGTGAGAAGCCTTTGCACTTACATGTGGAATGTGAGGTTGCTTGGGTGCATAGTGATATTTACTCATTAATGCCCGTAGCTGCAGGGAGTTCAGCTTGAAGCAAGTGGAATGAATTTTCTGCGTATCTTTAATAGCATAGCTGTTCATGGTCAATAGCGTTGTTGCCTGAGGAAAATCAAATGCTTAACAGGTCTTGGAAGCCAGTGAATATGCTGTAGAAAACAAACTAGAAAATGTCCCATTCCTGACACAATTCTCTCATACCTGGATTATGCGGCTCAGGTGGCAGTCTGCAGCCAGCTCAAGTCCCTGTCTCTCTGCCCAGGCCTCCACGTGATATAGCCGCTGGCGCAAGGTCATGCCCCAGTAGTGCGAGCACAGATTGGAGCCTGAGGCAGCCATAGTGAGTCTGTTCAGGAGCCATGCTCCCATGAAGTGGAAGAGCTGAGAAAAGAGCTGTATGCTGAGAGCAGGGTTGACCCGGAATCTGCGCAGTAAACTCATAGCCCTTGTGAAAGTAGCCAATACACCATCTAAACAACAGGAGGAAAGAAAGACAAAAACTGTGACAAAACTAACTTATTACAATTATTGTTTACTTATTTATTTTCTATTTCTGCTATTTGTTTTCATTTTGGAAGAAGGTCAAAGTAAAACAGTTACAGTAAAATGACCACTGGAGACTGTTTTTGGGGGTTTGTCTAATACATACGAAGTCTGATTAACAAGCACTGTATGTAGAAAAGTTTTACCTATTCCTGCTGTCTGGTTGTTCTGCTCTCCAGCATCTGTCACAAAAGTGGGCAGATGACTCTCGAGGTCAGCCAGAAGACGATGTGAAAGGTAGCTATAAAAGCATCAACACATTATTAAGAATTAATAGAAGACACTGGGCTGGTTTCCTAGGTCTGTTCCAAAATTTTAGCTGAAAAACTGTCATATTAGCAATTGTGATTAACAATTTAATTGTCCTTTTTTGTTCATTGTAACTAAAATGATTGTTTTCAAACTAAATAATTGCAGTCAGATCAAATAATTGTGATCAGGCAATTATGTAATAACTGTGATAGGCCTACCACAGATTAAGACTAAGCCCAGCCTAAAAATATTAATAGTTAATGGTACATTTTATTGGTAAATCGTCATTGGAATTGGAATATAGTCCAATACTAAGCTTAATTCATATCCAGGATGACATAGACGACACATATCAGAGTTTTAGCGTATCATACGTGAAAGACTTCTGAACCAGCTGAGCCAGGGCAGTCTGAGAATGGACTGTGATGGTGGACAGATCCCTGTCCTGCCTGATGAAGTTCAGGAACTCAGATGCATTTGCCATCCAGAAGGTAAGAGCCACAGTAATGGTCCTCTGTTTCTGAAGTAAAAAAAGGGAGTCAGACACACTGCCTCTGGAATAAAGCTGTGTTTGGTAATAGCAATTTGTGAATTACACTGTGAATTCTCACAGCCTACCTGAATGACATCATCCATTAAATGCACAATCTTGTTAATGATAGTAGTAACTCTTTGTGCTGTCTTTTCGGGATTTTTGTTCTTTTCCTCACTCTGACCTAGCACAAAGCGGCTTGCCAAATAGAAGGCGTACGCCGGGGAGAGCTTGAAGTGTACTGTGGAGCTGTTGGTGTAGTTTACTACAGCAAGCAAGAAGGCTTCTTCTTCTGTAACAATGGAAATGGAAAATAATATTTGCAAAACACAAAAATGACTCGTAGAGCTTCTGGATTTTGGTCAGTTCTCATTTACATTGCTTGGTGGGATAGAAAAGAACCCTACTTACTTTTTTCTCCTAGCTTTATACTTAGTGGAAGATTCCATTTTAGCCTGGAGTTGTCTGGCACAGTACTGTCAGAGAGAAAAACTAATTCAGCCATTTGATTATACTTATTATTTATATTTGTGAAAGGAAAAGAAGTTAATCTGCAAGCTATAAAAGCTTCCAAAATGTCTAAAAAGTATCCATAAAGAAAACTGTTAAGGAATGTTGTGATTTTACCTTCCATTCTGGGGTTCAAAAGTCTGACGCTGTTTTGGAGTAACCGACTTGAATATTCCCCTCTTATTGGGCTGCTCTGTGCACTGTGTTCTGCCCTGGAAATAAAGATGAGATGACTGAAGTTAAGCAAATGATGAGAAGGTCAAAGTCTGTCATATCAAAGTGTATGTGACAGATTTCGATTCTTTTAACATTTCATATCATTTACTTCTCAATGATGCCACCAGAGATGGCTTACAATCTTACAATAGTGATAAGTGATATTACACCTGGGAAGACCATTGGTTTACCATCTGGCTGTTAGGGTCCCAAGACTAGCAAGATTAAAGGCCCATATCCCACATTTTCCTCTGATGTCTACTGATGACATTTGTGTGGATTTATGTACAGTTGTAATTCATTTTTTTAATATGACCATTTTCTAACCTCTCTTTATCCTTTACACTTAAACATGCTGTTTTGTTATTGTGCCTTTAAGACTCTTATATACAAATGGCCTTTGTTCTAACTGGCTGACCTGTACTGTGCCTCATTAAAAAGTCCAGACTGAAACATTTCTTACAACTTCAGTGTGAATGGGTGGAGCTAAACTGCTGTAGGCTAAATATGTGAGTATGGACTGGAAATGAATGTTACTCTTTGAAATGCCTTCTCTTTCCTATCACTATGTATTGCAATGGCTTTCAAATATATTTTTGTTCACTTTTTGCTAATCTTCACTGTGGAAATCACAAAGAATTCTCATGTTTAAACGTATTGGTATTAGCCTAAGTACTACTTGGTATCAGATAGAAAAAGAAGGTATCGCACATCCCTACTGAGTGTGCTGAGTTTCTCAACAATGTACTTCTGACAGCTGTGATTGTCAGCCTAGATCACAATTCAGAGAAAGCTTGTCTGGCTTCAGCCCTTCTAGACTGTTCTCTAACTGGGGAGAATACTATACTGGGAATGGGACAGCAGCAAACTGGTCGTTAACAGTGTTTGCTGCATTACTGAATGGGCTTGCAGTTTGGTATACAGTTAATAGTGTGAAACAACTTACAGCTGGTTTAACAGGGCTGGGCAATGACTTGTGGCTGCCATCCTCTGTAAGATATGAGAGATCATCAAGAATTAATGTATAGTACCTTAATCTCAAGATCCACGTTTTGGTCTGTGTTTTTCACTTCTACCTGACTTCACTTCTTCATTCCTCAGTACACAACATTCCATCGCTTCTGGATTCTTCACCGGCTTAGAAGCATCATCCATTGTTCCTTTCTTTTGTTCATGATTGTTCTTGCTTGAAGACAGATTTAATGAGCCATTAAAACAAGACTGACATGGAAAAAATTAAATCATGCTCTGCTTGATTTGAATGTCTTACCGATTCATGTTACCACTAGCCAGGTCATATATTTCTGATGATGTAGTGTTGATACTTTCTTTTTTCTTCTGTTTATTTGTCTTCTGTTTCTTTGACAATGTCCTCTTAAAGTTCTGTATCACTCCAAGCTTTTCCTGGCCTTCCGAGCCATTACTCTAAACAGAAACAAGTAATCTCAACAAGTGACAACCAATATTTAAAAAGGTAACATGGAAGTATTCAGCACCCATCTGATCTTGAATCCTGAATACTGCTGAGTATGGCAGTATCAGATGAAGAAAAAAACAGGTAATTAGAGCAACTAGCTCACCTGCAAAGTCACGTTACTGTCATACTTCAAGATGAAACGGCCCTCTGTGGTGTTTTTATTCCAGCCAAGCTGAACAATTAAGGGTTTCTCACTGAGATCCAATCGCCTTCCCTCTAATTCCACACACAGGCAGAACATAGGATATAAGCCTTCACTGACTATTGATTAAAGACCCAAATTCAATAAGAAAAAAAATGGTGTACTATATAAACATATTAAACCCACCTTCATCTCCACAGACGTCATACATGGAGTATGGGTGGGGTTCAATGCTGACATCAGGCCTAAATTTCTCAAGCAGCGTTTCAATGATCTCTTGCGTGGTAGAGGTACTGGAGACACGAATGCACTTGGTTGCAAAGTTCTCTGCAGTGTGGTCCTGAAGATAAAAGCGCATGATTCCATGGAAAACCAGGTCCTGAAATGGAATGAAAAGCTATTGTTAGACATGGTATGAAGAAGGAACGTTGGGAAGCACAAACAATTGAGGCATGAGTCAATAACTTGCATGCCATTTAAGTTAAACTTGTACCGTCTTCACAATCATAGAAGGTTATCATTAAAATTCATTTTGAAATGGTACAAAATGATACAAAATGCAACAATTTTTGTTTTCCCTTATGAATGTCATTGTTTTTGTAAATTTAGGCTCATTCCATGATTGATGCCTGCAACTTGTTGCAAAAAAGTCAGGACAGGAGCGTGTTTACCATTGTGTTACATCACCTTTCCTTTTAACAACAACTTAATTACTGTTTTGGGACTAAAGACACAAGCTAATTCAGTTCTGAAAGCTGTTTTTGCCATTTTTCTGTTATGAAAGTCTTCAGCTGTGCAACCGCACCTTCATTGTCATATTTTGAGCTTTATAATGCACTACAAATTTTTATAGGAGACAGTTATGACCTGCGGTCAGGTCAGTCTAGCACCCACACTCGCTGATTACGCAGTTATGCTGTTGTAACACCTGCAGAGTGTTTCTTGGTGTTGTCATGTTGGATGGATGTCCCTGAAAAAGATGTTGTCAAGAAGATGGCACACGTTGCTCCAAAATGTGTTCAGCGCTAACAATGCTTTCACAGATGTGCAAGTTACCCACTTAAACCCCCCCATACCATGAAAGAAGCTGGCTTTTGAACTTTACGCTGGTAACAATCGAGATGGTCCTTTTCCTCTTTGGCCTGGAGAACACAACATCCATTATTTCCATAAATAATCTCAATATTTGGCTCATCAGACAACACAAGTTGCCACTGTTTATCAGCTCATTTCTGGATCCTTTTGCCATATGACTATGAATTGTGTTTATTGACAGTGGTTTGTCAGACATTCCTGGGTCCATGTGGTGACATGCATCAAAGAAGCATGCTGATTTTTAAAGCAGTACCATCTGAGGGAATTGAAGGTCACAGACACTTAGTTGTGGTTTTCAGCCTTGTGCTTTACACAGAGATTTCTCCAGATTCCCCGGATCGTTTGATGTAATTATGCTCTGTAGAGGGTGCAATCACTTGTTGAGGAACATTTTTCTTAAACTATTGGATTTTTTGATGATGCAAACCTCAACTGATCCTTGCTCATAATGGACTAGGCCTTTCCTGAATTCTCCCTTTATAGTCAAGCATAAATTCATCACCTGTTTAAGATGTTTTATGAACATTTCCCAATATTCCTTGACTTAAATTGCTCTGTCCAAAATTTTTTTGGAACGTGCTGCAGGCATCTATTTTAAAATGAGCACAAAAAAACAATGAATTTGAAAAGGTGAAATGTTAAATACATTTTCTTTGTACTGTATCTTACAATTAAAGGTCAAAGTAGACTTATAAATCACTGCTTTCTGTTTTATGTGCATTTTACCGTAACTGTTCTGGAATTGTGTTTGTAGGGTATATAAAGTTGTCTGTAAAAGTTTGAGCGCCTCTGGTCAAATTACATTTTGTTTATTTTCATTATGAAAATAAGTACACTTCCTCTACACAGAACACATTTCTGCACATTTTAATACACAATTACTGTTTATTTACTTAATTTAACATTTTGGGAAAAAATATAAAACATAAAAATGCAGCACATTACAAGTTTTAGCACATTTTTTTAAGTCAACAGATAAACAGAAACTGTGCATTAAAATCTGCAGAAAAAGGGTATATTGATAAGTGGTTATTAACTGATGTTATCATATTTAAGATTATAATCCAATGTGAAAGCCCCCTTTTGCACTCAGTTGCACTTATATATCCTTACTCTTTGCACTTCCTCATTCTCACTGAAATCAAATCACAGCATCCTTCCCAAAACTCATCCTTTCACAAGCTGGCTGTGTGTGTTTACCTCATCAGGCTCACTGATCTCAAACAGGTCCAGTCGTTCTGAGTTCCACTGCCGGATTATTGCCTGAAGCGTCTCTCGCTCCATTCTCTGACGAGCCCGGGTTAAAATACTTTCATTATCCATGGAGGCAAAACTCTCAAAGTGGGCCATTTTAGTTTACTTTATGAACCTTCTTGTTCTTTATAGACAGATTTTCTCCACACTGGTCTGGCTTTTGGCTCCAACTATTCCACAAAAACCAAAGTCAAGGCAGCACAACACTGAAGCACCCAGCTCCTCTTTTCCCACACTAAAACTAAAATCAGTCTCTGCCTCTGTCCTGGTTTTTCAAATTATAATGTGGGGGCCTACTCTACCATTGAAAAGATTATAGCAAACAAGAGGGCATTGTTCTTGTCCAAATAGCCATAAATAAGCCTAACAACTTCCATCTAACCTCTTATTCAAATTCTATAGATAATAGGCATAATTGCATCTAATTATCTGCTTCTGACAGCTACATACAGAACCATGCTGTAACAGTACATGTTCATACATAATAATGGACATAGTTTACATGCTACTACACAGTAGCCTACATGCAGTTAAAATGTCTGTGAATGTATATTAATATATACATACATAAAATATATGTAATATATAAATTGTATACAATTTACAAAAATAATTTCTTAGTTTTTTAATAACAGAACAATTTGCTACACATCATAACACAAAGTCATGGATGATGGGATGAATGTACTCATTAACAAAACCTATTGTCTGTCTTTAAAAGCACAAGAAAATGGACAATGGTGTTAAACAGTGAACTATAAACTCTGCATTTAAAATCATTTCATGGATGGCTGGATGAGAAAGTGGCATTTCAAAGCAGACTAAAGGCACAACTTACAGTATTATATATATATATATATATATATATATATATATATATATATATATATATATATATGATAAATGCTTGTTTCCTCCCTTAATCGAGCTAAAAATACAGCATTTTATTGACATCAACAATTTATTTTTACTACTTTTTCATAATGTAAATGGTGGTAGTACTGCAGCAACAGCAACAGCAACAACAACAACAACAATAATAATAATAATAATAATATAGTAATAACAATAATAATAGGTTTATTTGTTTGACTAAAATATGAACTATATATATATATATATATATATATATATATATATATATATATAACAACTATAAACAATCTTACATACTTAATTTAAAGTTTGAAATATGATATTCAAAAGTGTATTTGCAGCTCCTCTTGTACTTTTATGTATAATCAAGACTTACTTAAATGCACGGTTCTCTGGAATCCATCATAGGTCGTTAGGCTACATTTATTGTTTAAAACAGCAATGATATAATTGCTGGTTGGCTCTTGTAGTGCCAGCTTTCAGAGATTCATGTACATCATCACCAGGGTCATATAATGTTGTTAGGCTTTCCAACCTTTTGCACATCTTTCTTCCTAGAAATGTAAAATTAAGCTTTATTGTAAAACATTTTCAAATGTGTTCTATTCAAACACTGAAGTGTATGTTACTTTACTTGAGCTAAGTTAATAAAACACAGTACTGAGGTATGGCCTACCCTCTGTTCTCCACATCATCTATGGTCTCTGGCAGATCAACACCTTTCATTTCTGGCAACATCATTACCAGACCACTATATACAAGAGACATGACACCTGTAGAAGGCACAAACCAGATACTTTAGAATAGCATGATAACATATGTATTGTCATGTCTGCAATAGTACGAAATATTCTCTTACCATACAGTAAGAGGGGAAGCTCCTGCCATACACTAGCTAATCTGTAGAGAAGAAACGGTGCTGCAACTGCTCCAATATCACTGGCAGATGAGCAGACAGACACACCCAAGTTTCTGGAAAATGCAAAGAACACTTTTACTACATGACATGGTTAAAACATTCACACAGTCCCCTGTTATTCCTTTCAAAACCATTCATTCTAATTCAGAAGAGTTCAGTACCTTAAGGGAGTGGGATACAGCTCTGAGTTGGTAAAATTCACTGTTTCAAACCCAATGGCAACAGCCAGCCTTCCTATTATTGCAATGGATCTCCTCAGCCAGGAGAGGTCTTGAGAGGGAGAGGAATTTGAGACACTATCATAAATCAGATTTAATAACATGAATAATTATGTCAACATGCAATGTTGACCATGATGCAATTAAAAATGTTAAAGATTAACATACTCTGTGTAATAAAAGGGACAATCAAGCAAGCAACTCCCGCAATTAAGTTTGCAGCTGCTAAAAGTGGACGTCTGCCTACTCTGTCCACCAAGAGGTAAAATATAAGTCCAGTAGGCAGTTCAACCACAGCTGAGATGAAGAAATCCAAAAAGACATTATCCCCTGTGATCCCCAGACGGAGTAATAAACCCTGGAATACCACAGTGCTTGTAAACCTTAAAGAAAGATAAAGGGAGGTGAATACCAAAGCCAAAATAGATTCTACCGTGTAATAATTCAGTATGTTAGCCATAAAATAGAAATGTGTAGAAAGGGTCAGGGTGAAGTCCAGTGAATGCATGGACAGCTACATATGCTGCTTATCACTGAATAAGTTCTTGGTGTTTATCTTAAAATATCTTCTGGTGTCTAGCTTATAGCATTTCAATCTAAACTCTATAAAACCTTATTAAATAAAATAATAGCAATTATGAATATGGCAAATTATCCAAATGTTTAAACAGTAGTGTACAATAAGGCAAACAAGATCCTGTCATGATAAACTAGTTCAATATATCATAATAATAAACTAATATACTATATATTAACCATAAATTAGTACACTATATAATAATAAAGTATGGAACAGTGACCATTAGGGTACAAATACGTCACCAGCAACTACCACTGATATATATATTTTTAGGGCATGGAGGAAAAAACTGTCTTTTACCATGCATAAATTAAGATGATGGTGTGTTTTCTCATTTTTGGTGTTCTGAACAAATCTTTAAATGAAGGAGGAACAATTTCTTGCTGTCCCACCAAAACATCCATCTGTGATACAAATATAATGGACATTAAAATAAGGACAGTGAAGTAATTGTAGACAATCAAAATATGTGTTACAGGTTATACATCACAAAATACTTTGTTGTTGATTTCATGAACAACAGAAGGTTCTAAAATAGCATTGCCCTGTTCATGCTATGGAAAAATATCACAAAATTAATATAAAAGAACCTGAAGGTCGCTGCCATGTTTAAAACCCTGATATCTATAGTTATTTGTTTATATTCTGTGCATTGCAAAAGCAGTGGAATAATGTAATAATGTGACCACATCATTTCAGAAATGAAATTCTCATCTATGCTATTTTAACAGTGGAATTCTAGTTATATTTCACTCATAAATGTAACTCAGTGATGTAATCTAGACCCAAAATAATGTGATACTCTCAAAGCTAAAACTCCTTCAAGCAAAACATCTGGTGCATAACACATATATCAGGTCATCTAAATTAGATACCTATTAAAAGTGCTGACTCAGGCTCTTGCAAAGTCTGAAGTTTGAGAAATGAGACAGGCAGCCATTTTCACTAAAAGACAAGGCTTTACACAATTATGTAAACTGTTCAATTCACCTCCTGTAAATCTGCAGGCATTGATCTCTTATTGCACTTGGCAACGTTCTCAACAATGCTCATAGCCTCCCTTGTCTTCCCTTGTGACAGCAGCCATCTGGGAGATTCAGGCATAACCCTGAAAAAGAAGTCCTGTTGAATAAGGTGCTAGCACAACCGTTTATAGTAAGTAAGTAAATCAACATACAAAACTAGCAGACATGTATAAGGCAAGAAAAAACAGGTAAAATAGGATAATGTTTTAAAACAATAGATTTCACAATGAATCTCTTTACCAAAACCATATGTGCCACAATTATTTGTAACCCTAGATATTCTTGAAACAAAATGTAACCAAAGCAGTTTTTCCATTTATATCTTACTTTTTTATGTTGATCAGAGTGTCTAGGAACTTTCAAGTTCCAATCAACTGGAACTGTGACAAATTTGGCTGGACGAGGACCTAACTGCTGGAGAGTTTCAGAAAAAAGTAGCATCTTGAAGACACCAAGTCTCTAAAACTATCATCAGACGCCACCTCCATACCAACAGATTATTTAGAAGGCATCCTGGGGAAAAGCCTTTCCTGTCATCTAACTACAAACGTAAGCACATGGAGTTTGCTAAACGCTACTGGGACTTTGACAGGAACCGTATTCTATACTCAGATGAAACCAAACTTGAGCTTTTTGGGAACAAAGTGTGAAGGTGGGTTTAGTGTGAAAAGAAGAGTGACTAGACTGAAAAGAACCTGATGCCCACTGTTAAGTACGGTGGAGGTTCTATGATGTTGTGAGGCTGTTTTTCCTCCAAAGGCCCTGAGAAACTTGTTAGGGTACATGGCATCATGGACTCCATGAAATACTATGACATTTTAAATCAAAATCTGTCTGCCTCTGCTAAGAAACTAAAAATGAGTCTTCACTGGATCTTCCAAGAGGACAATGATCCAAACCATATGTCCAGATCAACACAAAAATGATTTACTGAACACAAAATCAATCTTCTGCCATGGCCATCTCTGTCCCCTCATCTAAACCCCAAAAAACCTGTGGAGTGAGATAAAGGGGAGAGTACACAAGAGAGGACCTAGGACCTTGGACGATCTGGAGAGATTCTGTAAGGAATGATCTCAAATTCTCTGCTCTGTATTCTCCAACCTTATTAGATGTTATAGGAGAAGATTAAGTGCAGAGGTGCCTATAATTGTGGCACATGTGGTTTTGTTAAAAATAATTATTTTTTGATTAGGGTTTTTTCTCAGAATACATTTTCTTCAATTAAAGGTAGGGTTTTTCTCATTTTATCAGTGTGAGTTTAAGCTAATTCACCAAAAGGAGAATTTCTTATAACCCTTTTACTCATCTATCATTAATATTTTGAATATTAAAAAAAATATAAATCTAGCCACGGGATGATGTTAGAATTAAAATGTTATTTCATTGTGAAGGCACACTCCAGCAGAGAGAGGATTTTACTCATTTTTTATTGTTTAATTGAGAAAACACAGGCAATCATTCAAAAACATTTTTTAGGTTATATATTAGAAAATCTTTCTGTCACATCCTTCAGAATAGGGTTAGCATTGAACATGTACAATTTCATGAATTTAGGTATTCTAGAGATTTTTGGTTCTGAATTTAGAGAAAAACCCATTTTGAGAAAATGATTATGGGCCTCAGAACTGCATTACCCAGTGAGATCTCAAACAACTTGCACCATTTATGTGACTGTTGTCATTAGTACAAAGGAAATAGTGTGGCGGATTAAGCCTTCATTAAAGTTGCTATCTTTTGGAAATGTTACATGTAGAGTGGATGCAAATTGACAAAACATGCTGAGATCAACATATTTCTTTTGAATTTTAGAATGTCATGATTACAGACTAAGAGAGGACATGTTATAGATGCAGCTTATGCAAAAAAACTGACAAATGGCTGATGGGACCACTGTAGTGTCTCCCCATAAAGTATACATGATGTAAAAACCTGTATAAATGTATACTTTTAATCATAACTACTATGTTTTCAACTTACCAGTAATAAACCAGAAAGATAAAGATCGGGAGTGTCATGGTCAGTTGCAGGTTTTTCCAAGAATGAATGTAATAAGCTAGACCAGGAATGAAAACCATACCAGTGGAGTACAGGGTACGGGACATGACAGAAACAAATTTCCTGTTGTTTGATCCGAAGAATTCAATAACTGTTTTGAAAAGAGAACATTAAAAAAACAAGAATTTGACGTAAATCAAAAACAATCTAATCAATGGCATCCCATAAATTCAACAGTAGCCCAAAAGTGGGTTCTCTTCAGAGTCCTCCAAAAGCAAACAGACACAGGCCAAGAATAATAAAAAGTGTCCCAGAAAGATCAAAATTCATATACATGTTAAACTGTGGCACAAGTTAGCTGTGAGCTTGTGTGTACCTACCCAGCACATAAGTGGTTGTCCATGCTCCTTTTGCAAAAAAACCCTGCAAACATCTGAAGACTAGGAACAAGGGGTAATAAGGTGAAATGATAATGCACATCCCTGACACTCCAAGGCCAAGAATTGAGCCAATGAAACATAACTTCCTTCCAAACCTGTGAAAAAGTATCAGAAGATAGATCAGCAATTTTTTAAATTTCAGAATAAATTTTCAGTGCTATAAAAAAAAAATAAAAATCCAAAATGACAACATTACAGCAGAAACCAAAAATAGTTTTGACTTTTAATTTAAATCAATTTCAAAAAGAAATTTTATTCCAAGTATTTATGAATCGTTTCTATTGGTCCATTTATCATGAAATTTTGACATAATGTAAAGGACAACTGCTGCGTTCAAATGATAAAGTAAAAATTGATAAAAATGGAGATGTTTTGGACATGTTTTTTTTTGGACAGTGACTAATTTGTTCTTTTTCAATCATATATCATAAATGAATGCTTCATATTTCAAAATGAACAAGAACAAATGAAGAATAGATCAAACCTGTCAGCTACATATCCGGAAACAAAGGCTCCTGTGAAAAACCCTGCAGCTAAAGATGCCTGGTTCAGGTCAGCGAGCCAGGACTGCTCACAGACCAATACAAACTTGAAAGAGAAAGAAATAAGGGATTCATTTTTGGTGTCATTACAACCCATCCCATCTACTCTAGCTGTTTCTAGGGTGTTCTAACATGAAAAGGTGGATGTCTCAAATGCACCAGAACTAAAGGTGACATCTTTCCCTCAAAATGTTGTCTCTCTGCACCCATGTTTGTGGGTGTATGTGGTCTCTGTACTTACTCAAGTCTCTTATACATTTCCTGTTGCCTGTATCACATGTTTAATTTATATTTTTTAAATTAATACATTTGTAAAATGTTACACTACACTACAGTAAAGTAAGAAGGTACAGAATAATAAGCTTAATGGCTTTAACTGCTAGGAACTGTTGAAATGACTGATCTCACTGTCATAACTACATTGCTAACGGTTTCATAGTCAATGATGAATAATTCAAAGTAGTTACTGAAAAAACTTTACAGGAGAATTCCACCAATCTTCCAAATGTTCTGCATAAATGAATTGTTATGAAACAAAATTGGCACAAAGTAATTCAGAGTGATTTGATATATGCAAATATTCAGAGTCAGAATTTTCATAGCAGTGTTAACAGTAACCATGGTTACAGAAATGCTGAGCAATCCCTGAAATATTGTTTTATAACAGTTCTAAAATGAGGTTTTGACTTGAATCATGTTTTTTAAATTTATTCATGGAGTAGTGATATATATTTTTTTTCTGATTTACCTCTATTTTTTTCATTATCAACATTATATATAAACTCAGAAGACATATGTAGATTATTTTAGATAGTAAATAAAATCACTACATTTGCACTGTAGACACTGTGACTCCTGTTTTTTTCAAAGCAACTGTAAAAGAATCACTGTAAAGAGTCAGTAAGTTTCTCTACAATTAACCATGTTTACATCTAAAATAACTAAATACAACATAAATTTTTAAATTTAATGCAATTTCCCTCTAACATTTGAGCATGTAAAGTCATGGAGAAAATTAGAGAAATACCTTGAAGAATAAGGGGTTAACTAATATGACTTTTAATGACACTGGCCCAACCACAGTATTTTCCCTGCACGGCATGCAATTTTAGCTCTGCAAAAGAGCATCTACTGCAAAAGTTTCCAGAGAAAAATATAAAAAAACAGTCACCTCTGTTACAACAGTAGTCCAAGTCAGATCAAACATCCATCCCTCATCACAAGAAGAGACTGGTGTGGTATTAGTGGGTATGGACCAGTGAATCAGGTCACTGCAGCTGATTGCACTAAAGTTCCAGTCCATATCAAACTTAGCACATCTACTGTGAGAGCCATGTGGACCAGCATGAGGAACAGTGAGGTTCCACACCTCCTCCACAGAGACACCACAATCCTCTTGCACATGAGCAGCACCTGCAATTTTACACCAGTGATCTGGTGTATTTCCAAGGAACACGACTCCAACGAGAACGAATGCGAACAATGAAACAGGTAAAGATCCTAAAAAAGCTATTCTTTTCTGGAAGGGTCCAAAGTCCCCAGCGTGCTGTAGAAGCTCATCAAAGTTTGTCATCATGTACTGTTAATTTCTTTACCTACTGAAGCTGTGGATAACTTTAAAAGTACACATGCAGCATGTGAAAAGACAGTACACACTTGAGGTTAGTTATTGAATCAAAGTCCATCAACGTCACAGAAGGACGGAGGCATCTATGTGAAAAGAGCATGGCAAAGTTCCATGCTGAGCGTCCCTGTGGATTAAAATGAAAAGATGAGATTACTTTTATGTATCTGTTTATCTGTCTAGCAAAATGTTATGAACACATTTTTGGTAAACAATAAAGTACTAAATCACGATAAACCTACAACTTTGTTGTTTATTACTGTTAAGGGCAAGATAGAAACACAATGACAACACTATTGTGTGCATTACCATGTAATATACTGCTTGCCTGATTTACACTTTTATTGCATATATCATTGTCTGATTATTTGTTTACAGTAGCGCAGATAATAATTACATTGTCTGTATGGTTAAACCTTTTTATTTGTGAATAAAGTACAGGAAAACATTTCTATCTTATCCCAGAAAACAAAGGTCTAAAAAATGACTTTTTTCATAAATGTTGTGGTATCTGAGAACAGTGTCATTCAGGTGGGCATTGTTTCCCATGACATGTGTTTGAATACATCATAGATATTCACATGATGCAGCCAGACAAAAAGATTAGCCACAAGCCAATAACACTATAGAGTCATGCAACTTTACGAGAGTCTACCCAAAACTGCATGTGTTCTCAAATCATAACCCAACTATACCCCGAGCTCAAAACCGAACCACATCGTAGCCTTAAACTTAAACTTCACCAAACACCAACTGTTTTATGGCAAAGCTTGCAACGTGACAAGTGTTTCAGCTAAAGGTAACGTCAACGAAAATGTAAGCATTACAATCATATCATGGTGTCAAAACGGCGTTCAGTGCTCCTACCAGGACTCACATTCAAAGTTCGTTCGGGTTCAGTTAGGCGAGCGTCATCTTTGGACAGCCTGGACAGACAAGTGTGGATGTCTGAGTTGGAGTGGGCGTGTGTCAAAACAAGCGGGCGTGTCAAAGGGTAGAAGGTGTGCCGTAGATAGAGCGGAACAGGTGGTTCCGGAAGTAGAAATCTCATTCATAATCCGCAAAGTTGGAAATAACATAAAATAAATTAATAAAACGTACTATTCTTCACCCTGATCCAAGGCTTCTATAGAAAGTCTAAGCATAGATAGTAAGTGTAATGTTATATGCTAAAGAATGACAAAATTCCACTTTTCTTCACACATTAATGCAGCATCAAACTTTCTTCACCCCTAAAGCTCCGTCATTCTAAAAAAATCCAACTCGCTACATCTTACTACATGATCTTTATAACTAACCTTACATATGTTACATCAACTTAAAACTGTCAGTTCAGGCAGCGTATTTACTATGAGGCATCAGGAACTGGTTGTTGAGTCAACTAAATCATGATGTGAACATTGGGCCAACTGTATTTTTTGAATTTGCCTAACACTAGGGAGTTGGATTTTTACAGTGAGGGAACTTTGAGGGTGGAGAAAGTTTGATGCTGCATTAAAAGGAGATTATTGTCAAGCTTTAAAATGAGTTGCGCATGCGCGCTCAAGTACCTGATTTCGCCTGTTTCAAAGAACTTCATTTTATCGAGCTGGTAATTCTCTAGAAACACGGGGCTGCGTAACGGAGTAAATCAAACCCAGTGTACAAAATTACACATAGAAAAGAGTTTTGCTGTAAAAGAAACCAAAACAGCCAAAAACAGACTGTATCTGCTTTATATTTTTATTCTCTGAAACTGGTAAGTATACTTTGCCCTCATTATAGTAGCCTGACCGTTGGCTGGATCACATGCTCACGCGCCAGTAACTCAGCTAACAGCGCGACGGACTCTTGAGAGTCGGCAATGGCACACCTGAATCGGCCCGGGTACGGTTGGGCTCGCAAGTTTTTCTCGGCGAAAATCATCAGATTCAACCCGTACTGAGGAGGGCAGATCCCACCAGTACTGAGGTCCGAACCGTCGTCAACGCTCCACCGCGAAGGCGACAAGCGCGCACTTGGAGCAGCTTGTAGAAAATTCGGAAGGCTCCGAAACATTTGACTGCTTGGTGAGTAATGTTTGGTTTATTTGACTTACCAGTAGTTTTTCATTCTGACATTTACTTGAATCTAATTCTATAATTTGTTAATGTTGAATTCTTCATATGCCAAAACGAAAATGAACGTTACCTGCTAACAGTTAACTTAGCTAGCTGGCTAGCTAGTTAGCTAGCTGTAATCTGCTATGCTAGCAGTTCACCTCTTTTAGACGAATGTTTGCTCCCAATTGTAAAATCAATACAATGGTTTAAAATTTGAGACGGTTTTGAATTTCTGTTCCATCTTTAATAAATTGGTTTGCACAGTGAGTTGCTATTGTTTGCGCAAGCCAAGCTCACTTTAGTTAGCAGGCTGATAGCTCTGCTGGAAGACCGCTTCAGTTCCGGCTAACATATGCTAACCTACGACGAATAAAGGCTCAAATCTGAGCTAGAGATGTGGAGGGACTGGTGGTGGAGTGACAGAAATTGACCAGGTTCTATAATGTGTGGGGCTGTTAACTTGCTGGCTAGCAGGGTAATGGCTTCACACACACCACAGTTGCTTCACTCACACAAGTTTAGAGAATATAAACAGAAATCTCAGGGAGAGACGTCGAGTGACCTTTGCTGCAGTTAGCTACAATTAAAACAGTAAAGTTAACTTAGAGCTGCCAAGTGATTTTATGTGCTTAAAGTCCCACTTAAATTTGTGAAACCTCTGTTATCTCTTTTCTTGACATCAGTACTTTGATGTTTAACCAAATATCTTCTCTACTTGCCGTCACCACGTGTCGTACAACTGCCACTGGCATTTCTCAGGAGTGGAAGCACCTTTTGTATACCTTTGTTTCTTTTGCATTTTGCTGGTTGTTTTCACTCATTTCTCTTACAGTGTAATCGTCCAAAATAAATATGTCTGTCTTTGATTGCGGTCAGTATTTTAAACTAATTAACTAAAATGAACAAGACCTCATCACAACCATATATACGTTTGTCTGTGTTTCCCTCTCTCATGATCGAGTGTTGACTGACTGTAATAACCATTGGGAAAGAACAGTTTTTTGATGTTTGTAAATATTTTCTCTTTGGGGTAAGTGCATATATCTGCTTCCATGGTGAATTATCATTTTATACAACCAAAGTTTAAAATATTAATTTTTATTAAAATCCTGTTTCAATGTTTTTTTCCCTCTACGTCTATGCCCCTACCCTGCCACAACATTTGCAGCTACAAGAGCCTTCTAACCAGGAGTAAACAAAGTACAAAAAGTCTGATCTTAAGTAGAAACTCTCTTAATAAAATATTACTTGAGCTAAAGTAAAGCTATTCTATTTATGTTTTTACTTACAAAAGTTTTTGTTTTTGAAGTCAGTGCTAATTAGAAAACATAATGCATTGAAACAGTGTTATTTATTTATTTATTTCCGTGTGATGAATTGTGCTTAGTATGACAATGGACGTTAACAAGATAAATTAACGTAGTAAAAAAGATCAACTTGAATTAACAAAGGCAAAGTTCTATTTTGATTTTCGGTTGAGTTAATGCAGTTAGGTTATTTTAATGAATGTTTTCTGTTAAAGAGACCTGTGTGGCTGCAGACATTAGAGTTAAGTGTTCATGTCTGTAGCCATGCAGGTCTTCGTAACAGAAAGTATTCACCACATTTACAAGTACAAACGTTGACTGAATATTTTTATCCAAGTAATATTTAACCAAGAGTATTTTTACTTTTTCTGAAGTAAGTAACACTTACTTCACATAAGTAAGATCTTGTGTGCTTTGTCCACTCTGATTCTCGCTGACCACCTTACCCTAAAAGATGCCTGGAAAAAAAACATTTCTCCGGTATGGAAGCAACATCTTTACCATTTAGCATTTTAAACCTTTACCAAATGTTTTTGTTCTTACAGCCATCCATCTGCTGCTTCTAGTTCTCGACTGATCAGGACTTACAGCTTGTCACAGGTACTTTCATTCATAGTACTGTTTAGTATTGCTGTGGCACCAGTATTGCTAGTATTTAGTAATGCTCTTTGTAATATTAATACATATTTCATTAGATATTTTACTACATCTTTTAGCATAAGATATTGCCAGTATTATGTATTATTTTGCTCTTTTCTTCGTTTTGCAAACTGATGTAGAAAACCAATAGGACTTTCAAGTGAGGGCTACTGTGAAAAACATAGTACATTTTTATTCACAATAAAATGCTCCTTCTTGTATTCGTTTGCACATGCTACCCATTTTATTTGTTGTTGTTTTGTAACAATATCCACAGTAACACCAAAGTGAAAGAGGGAAAGTGATTGGTTGAAACCATTTGCAGTGCTTGTAGTTCACTCTGACATTAAACACGCTAAAGGTACAGTTTTTAAGATTTAGGGGGATCTATTAGCATAAATGGAATATAGTACAAACTAACAGTATAATGTACAGTATAGTACTAACAGTATAATGTTGAAGTATAATGAGTATATAGCTTAAATATTCATGTATAGAGAGTTCCAGTGAAAGTGCAATGTACATACCGTCCCATGAGCTAGTGGAGCTCAGTGTGTAAATACACAGAGTAAACTGAGAGGATGAGGGTTTAGATCAGTAATAGTCTGTAGTGTGTGTATTTACGTCCTGGTTGGTGTTGCTGATGTGGCCAGTTTAACAGCTCGCAGGTGAAACTCTTCTTGAATCTGGTTGTGGCTCAGGTGTTCCAGTACCTCTTTCTGGATGGCAGAGGTTGAAACAGGGAGTGGCAGGGATGTGTGGGGTCAGAGGAGATGTTTTTGGCTTTCCTCTGACGTGCTGTGCTGGGCAGTTTTCACCACCTGCAGGGCCTTACGTTCAGCAGCAGTGGCGCTGCCATACCAGACGGTGATGGTTGATGGTATGTCAGAATAACCTACCTATATGTTTAATGCTGGTTGCATATCGCTGTTGTCAGAAGAAAACCTTGTATCTCCATTTTTGATGTTTTTCAGTTTTTGACATAATTTGAAAATACCCTTTGGCCTTTACATTGTCTGTAAATTTCATGATGAGTGGGACTAAAAGAAATGACCGAAAATTACTTGAAAAAACGACTTGTTCCATTGACTTACATTAAAAGTAAAGTAGGTTTTTTCTTTCTCCTGTACCGTTATCATTTTGGAGATACAAGGTTTTCTTCCGACAACAGCAATATTCTGATAAGGTGATTTAGGCTATCAAAACATATTACCTATAGTTTTATGTAGAGAGCAGCCTCTAAATATATGCTACAGCAGAACATTTCTACAAGGTAGGACCAGCACATTATACAATTATTCCAGATAGGGAGCAAGTTAGTATCGGTGATGTTTTTATCAGTGATAAACCAAATACATCTAACATACCATACTATAATATGGCTAATATAATATGGCTAATGTAAAAAGCTTCGTCTGATTATTAATTAGCGGCAGTGTATTCAGTCTTACATTAGTAGAAAGTGAATTGTTCTTTTATATCATTATGTTCCTCTGTCCCTTTATTTAATAAAATATGGTTATGCACTAAAAAATATTATGCAATAAAGGAATAACAGTATATGGTGTGAGAAGTCACAATCAAGACAACAAAAACACAGGTTCAATCTCAAATGGCTCCCTACTCCCTAGATTACATAAATAATCCCTATTACTACATAAATCATAATGTGTGTCTACATCCAAATACTGAAGTAAATGTTGGGTCATGCAACATATGGCTGAATTTAAATGGCTTTCTGTTAGACATGTAATGCACTATTTTGGTGTGGAAGCTGTCATTTAATGATTTATGTGGTTCACTACGTAAAGAGTAAGCCATATACCAATATTTTCTCAAGTTTTTTCTTAAATTTGTTCTTGAGAAAGATCCTAAGAACAAGTTTATGTCAGATTAATGACATGTTCTTAAACCGCGGAATCGTGAGTATGCATAGGTTCTGTTCTTACCTAAGAACAAATCCCAAACAAGAAAACATTGGTGAAAACTTCGTGAAAACCGTGTAAGTGGGTTTTAAGAAGAATGGATGGTGAATGAGGCCATTGTCCTTTTAGCCAGCTGGCAGTTTGGAAAATGTAGGCTGATTTCAGCTAAATCAGTTACTTAAAAAGTAATTGGCCTAGAAAATTAGCTGTCTTTATAGCGACAAGTGTTTGGGAAAACAATTTACTTAATTGCTTCACAGTCCAGAAACGGCAAATGTATTTTCACCTAGCGGTTGATCTAGAAACTGAAGGATCCTGTGACTACAAGCTTAGTGCAGGGCAACAACGATCCCATACTGGGGGTTTAATGGACAAATATTCAGATGATAAAAAGAAAAGGCCAAATTCAATTTGATGGACTATGCACAAAATGAATGCCAAAAATACTCTTTCAGTTTAGAAACAGTTGAACTACATTGCCATTCCACTTTATCAGCACAGTGTCTCTCTTATGTCTCTCTTATAGGGTAATAATGAAGTCAATCATTTATTTAGACAGTTATGCAGATGCAAACTTTTACCTTTGTGGTTCATCCAGGATTTGCCAACAGCTATATATTAGTGATGAATCTGGGCTATTTTTTTCAAGTATGAGCACAAGTTTTTAAGTAAATAACGTGCTTTAGCTAGGTACGCTAATACATTGGATTGAGTAGCATTGCAGTGGAGAAGAGTGTGTTTTGTTCCACGTCAGAAAAACGCTTCTGTACAGCTGTAAGCAAAGTACATTTCATAGTTTTGATCCTATGCTCCTCATCTGTCTCTTTCAACAACAGTCTCTGTAGCACAGTGACAGCAGGAATCACATCTGAGGCTAAAGCATCCAAAGAGTTCACTTTTCTTGTTTTATGTCTTGTTGGAGTTACTTGATTGGCTGGTTGAGCTGTAGTTGAAGACAGACATAGACAGACAGCTCTGTGTATGGGTAATTATCATTAAAGCTGTTTCATTCAAAATAACACGCTGCGCACCAAGTACTGAGCATGCTGAAAAGCAGAACCACATCAGCCTTGCTAACTACCAACGTGTGCACTGACACTAAAACCAGGCGGTGATATACATGGTAGGACAATATGATCTCTCTACAGTCTATTTTACAGTACGAAGACAGTTTAAAAAATCATCTTATAAATGTTTATACCTCCCAACTCTATTCAGTCAAACACAGTAAAATCGCCATGTACAAACTTTTGTAAAACAAATGTAGATTTTTCTTACCATTTTGTTAGTCTCCACCCATATTGGGGAAGTGGTTGTGATTGTGTTAGTGTGTTTAAAAGCATGCGGGAATCACAGAGCATATTCCTGGCAGAAATTTGCCAAGGCAGAATGTTTAAACTGACCAACAACTTTGTGTCTGACCACCACAGTATCCAAAATACTTGCTGTGTGAGCAGACCCTCGTTCTCTGCCAGCTTGAGTAATTCGTTCATTTGCGCAGCAGCAGACTGTGTCTGTTTTCATGAGTATGAGTATCATACCATTATCAGTATCAGTGCATCCCTACTATTTATTATCCCTTCATTTGGAAAATGCTTTGCAGTCCTTGCTGTCAGCAACATTGAGATGCCAGCTTGCTAAGAAGACAGCTGGCGCAACAGTAAGATAGCAACACTAAGAAATATGAATACAAAAAAGACATTTTCTCTGACATATTATTACAAATTTCACTTGGCAGCTAAAGCATCCTGTGACATATTGTAGCGCTCTGCTGCTGGTAGGCGCTAGGCAGATAACCACATGCAGAGATTCATGGTAGTGCACGCCCTACAACAAAGGGACTTTATGTTGTTTAGCGTTGGCTGTTGTTAGTTGTATGTAAGTGTTTATTGTGTTATTATGTGTCAGGATGTGGGTTTAGTTGGGAGTTTGATGTGTGTAGGGGGGTCACTGTCGGGGTGAAGCAGGTGGCTAGAGGTGACCTCCCCCTCGAGTTTGGTGTCCTGTATGTATCCTTTTCTGTTAGTTTAATAAAACGTCCTTGTTATAACAGAATCATGGCCACTCCTGTGTTTTTTTTCTGCTGATGACACAATACAAAGAGGTAGCACCACACCTACAGAAATAGTAGGCGAAAAATCTTAAAATCTTAAAAAATCTCTGAAGAAAATGTAATCCTAGGTTAGCAATGTAGCAGTAAGAAATACTGTAACTGACATAAAATAAATTTCACATAGAGCAGTATCAAACTGTAACCAAGTGCATATCAGTTTGTTCATTGCAGTAAGGACAATGTACGAACTAACATAAATCAGAAATCTCAATGCATTTTCTTTCTGTAGTGTGACGTTTTTCTGAGTGAAACATATTTCCTAGCCTAGAGGGTCTCTAAGCCAGCTGAGCATTTTTTTTCTCTGTGATTGATGGGATTTTGTCTTTTAAATGATATAATGAATTGTCCCCACACACACTATCAAGGTAGAAAAGGCAAAAAATGTATTTTGATTTGCAGTTGACTAAAAAGTTTCACTTTTGGAGAAAATGTGAAAGCTGAAAATTTGACTGTCCTGTTGTTTGTGCGGTTAGGGAGAGTGGAGATTCTTTTTCAAAATAAACAATGTGAACTCAAAAAGTGTTGGGGCACAACAGGAATAACTTGTTCATGTAGGACACTTCAGGTAGTGTGACATACGTCCTTTCCTGAGCAGCCTTTGTGAATTCACTCCAGATTAATTAAGCTAAGTTATACTTCATACACGCTCACATTCTTGTTAAGATAATTAAGGTTCTTTAATTAACAGTTTCCACTACTGGGTCCTCAGGCCCACAAAAACAGATAGACTGCTGAGAGGACATATGGAAATCAATTTGTAGGTGCTAAAATTGTCTAGACTAGTTTTGTTATGGTGAATTGCAGGTGGATTGAAACTAAAAGAAGTCTATACCAAGAAAATTATACTCAAGGCACTTTATTCGTGGAGCTGAAGCAACTTGGACATCATGTTTATTTGTTAAATTGTGACATGTTCAACATGTTGTGTAAAACAAATTTTATGAAAAATTGTATAACAATTTATTGGTATACAATATTTTCAGTCAACTGTCTCCATTTCTTTGTTTCTGATCTCTTGATTTTCATCGGACCATGTTTCTGTGGAGGGGATCTCTTGATTGAGATAAAACTCCAGATCAGTACTGGCCTCTATAAGGTCTTGGGTCTCCTGTACAGAGTCTGTGCTCTCTGAGTGTTCTGAAAGCTTGCTGGCCTCTCCAGAGAGAACAGCCTGCGCAGGGATGTGCGAGATTTTAAAACTTGCCGCTACCTCTTGAAGTCTGGCCTTTTCAGCCTTCAGATTACCTAGCTCTTTAGTAAGAAGTGATGTAGCAGTAGTGGGCTCATTAAGTGTTTCTTCAGAGGTCCTCGGTTCCTGAGGGTTTGTTTTTGTTTTCTCTGCTACCTCTTCTTTGGTTTCTGTGTCTTCTGCAGCTTCAGGTTGTTGGGTCTCCAGGCCGCTTGCCTGGCCACTAGGCTGTTGGGTCTCCAGGATGTCTTTCTCACCTCCGTGCTCCTGGGTTTCCAGGTTGTCAGCATCAACTTCAGGCAGCCGGTTCTCCTGTAGCTTCTCATAGAGGCTCTTTCTCTCATCCTGCAGTGCCCTGCAGAGCTTCTCCAGTTTTTGGGTCTTCAAAGTAAAAAGCTCAAACTCTTTCTCTTTCAGCACTTTCTACAAAAGGTTAGAATAAACAACAGTAGATGGTGAATAGAATTTACTCATGCGGGCTGAAAAAATGGTAGTTGTATTTTGAAAATACTTTTTCATCATGAAAAAATGATTTACAAAACTGCCATCTGATATTTTCAGCTGGATGCAGTTGGGTACCCTTTTACAATTTTGTAGTACCATTATAGATGTTTGAAATGTGAAATGAGTTCCTTACATCTGCAACCATTTCAACAAGAGCTTTATTGCAGCCTTCAAAGCGTGATTTCCATGCGTTGGCCTCCTTCTCAAGCTTCTTCATCTTCTTTGACATCTGCAAATATGATTCCATGGTTTTAAATCTTTATAAGTAACTGTAACTGTAAATCGTACTAGTGCTGAATGATTTTTGTTACATGTTATAGTACCACATTGGAAGAAATTAGGCTAATTTACTTAGCAGTGTAACCTGTCCATCTAAATTAATCTTCTCTAATCTTTGTTAAGCAATGTACCTACTTTTTCTATGTCTTGCTTGAAGCTGGCATACACACCACTGCTCTGTGACACAGTTCCTTTGAATTCATCAAACTTCTCAGAATACAGTGCAAGCTGTAGAGAGAGGTATGGTTTGATAACCTCAAAAAACAGTGATTTATAAACAGCTGGAAAAGCATAATATTTGATAGTATTTTACCTGGGTCTTCATGTCATTTTCTTGCTCTTTCATAAGCGTCACTTGTAGTTTAGCCTCAGCAGCTTGTTTCAGTAGCTGTGCATGAAAAAACAGAGGAACAGGTCAGGGTTAGATTAAATTAGATAGTTAATGTAACACATAGCGAAATGCAAAGTTTTGGGTTCTTTCTGAAGCTGTATGTACTGAAACCACAAAACTCACATGTGCTCTCTCCAGCTTGTGCTTCTCTTCAGCATCTTTCAGCATTGCATTTGCCTGAGCAAGTTTTGTCTCCAGCAACTTCTGCTGTAAGTCTCTGTGCTTGAACACCTTTTCAAGATTCTGCAAAAGCCAGAGCCAAACCTATATCTTTGCATTTCTGTAAGGGCTTTAACTTGCATGTAATGTAAATTTATAGTTAGAACCAACTGCATCAAAGATAAGTAACAAATGTAAATGCACACAGTTTAAGGGAAATAAACATACATGCTTAAAGTCCCAACAGTAACCATCACCATGCTTTAATGGTCTCATACCGCCTCTCGCTGGTCATATTTAGCAATGAGGCCCTTGAGTTTCTCAGCTAGGTCACTGTTCTCCTGGCATAGCTTGTTGTTACGATTGCTGTGCTCTTCAATCTGGGCCTGAATGTCTGTAAGAGTGTTCTGGAAATGAGTGGTGATCTCCTTCCTCTTCAGGTCATCTTCACGGCATCGTTGAAGTGTCTCCTCCTGAAAAAGATGTTCTATATGTCAATATTCATCACTACATTTTCACACTTAACATACACCATTACTGGAAAGGCTAAATAAAGTTTTAATGTACTGGTAGCATTCACCGCTTCTGCACAAGTTGTGGTGCTTTATTTTCCATCTGTTGTTGGTCACAGCTACACTGTACATAAGCAGAGTTCTCTTTTCTCTCAACTAGCGTCGCCTCGTCCCCCACTCTCTCAGTGGGCAATAACAAGTTACAATTACTGTGTACTCAAATGAAATGTTGATAGATTTGTATTTCTATCCAGATTGATGAACAGAGCAGTATATGTTTCCATAATGACTGAGAAAGTTGCATAACATTGAAAGTGATGTTATATTAAAATGAACTTTGAGATTTCCTCATATTTGAAATGTGTTTGAATCTCAGGCAGATAACTCCTCAAGTAATGTAATAATCATTTAATTGTTTTTGGTGTTCCCAAAAAAATGTTGAATATTAAATAAATATAAAATACTTTACGGTGTCTAGCTTACAGGATTTCAGTACATTGCTAACAAAAGTAATAACTATTATTAATATGAAAAGTGATTCCAAACTTTTGAATGGTAGTGTATATTTGTAAAAGGAATATTTTATTCTGTTTCACTTCCCATTGAGTTACAGACTTTCCTTTGTAATTTAAAATCATTCTCTCCTGTTCATGACAGCACCTATGCTGTTTTGGTGTTGCTCACATCTCACTTTGCGGCTTTAGCATGTTATGATTGACAAAAAGTAACACCTAATAATCTTCTGTTTCTATCTTGAAAGATTCTGGATACACAATGAATTTCTACTGCAGTTTATTCAAGAACTCAGTACTCAAGTATTCTGTTGGCCTGACACTTCACTCCTACTCAAGTTTTTCATTTATTTATTTTTTGGTTGATCATTTTTTCTTCTACTCCTAGTTTTACTGAAGTAACAGTATATTTGTTATGTATGGACTTTTACTATCTATTTATGGATGTAGGCTGCTCTACCCACCTCTGTTGAGGACCATAGTCGGATAGATAGAAGGATAATACCTTGAGAGTCTTGTTGTGTCTCTGCAGCTCCCTGCAGAGCCCCTCGAGTTTGCTGCGGGCCAATACTGCTCTGCTGTGTTCACTCTGCAGCTGGTCTTTCTCCTTCATCACCTGCAGCAATTTCTTCTGTAGCATTTTCAACTGCTTCTGCTCTGAGCGATGTTCTTCCAGCTACAGATGGCACAGATACACACACAGGTTATATCTTCAACCTCTTCTCCAAAGAGATCATTCTCAGTGCAGTTTAATCTCATAATTGTTCATTTTGTTCCCATTTTCAAGAGCACAAAAGCCACATCACAGTTCATGGCTTATAGGTACTGATACTCACCAACTCAGCATGCTTCTTGATGAGGGCTTCCAGTTTCTGTTCTGGAGTACCAAGCTTGTTCAGGCTTTGCATAAGGAGCATGGCTTCCTTGCCTGCAATAGAAATGCTTGTTAGTGGAAATCCTTGTCAGCAAGGGAAATTGGGGATTTCTTTCTGTTTATACTGACCGAGGCTTTTGAGCATTTTCTTTTCTAGCTTCTGATCTTTGGCCTTGCCAGACTCTTTTAAGTCTGTGAGGGCCTCTTCCTCCAGCTCCTCAGACTCTGCTGGCTTCTCAGCTTCCTGATAGGTACTGATGATGTCTTCTAATTGCTTACTCAGGTCCTCAGTGAGGTCTGGGGTGACATCCGCCATGGGGACGCTGTTAGGGGCCTGTACTTCTGCAAGTTGGCTACAGCTCTCCATTCTTAGGAGATATAACTGAGAAGATATAAAAGATATGCTTATTGTTCCACCTATTTCATTTATTGTTAAGTTGGTAATTCTTGAATTAATTAAAAAAATGTTAGTTCATAAGAGGTAACAGAATTTTCTGCGTGTTCCCTGTGTCTTATTCTGCAGTTTCACATATTTAAATGAACTAATACTTTATGTTTAACATAGCATTTAACACTTAATTTAAATTTCTTTGTTTTTTATGTAATATTTTCTTTTGACTAGAAAGATCCAGAGCTATGTTTCCTTCTGCTTATTTATTTTCCTTCTCCTTACTTATTTATATTAGTCACTTTGCTACAAAATAGGTAAGGCCTTGTACCAGTGCAGTGGGTCGCATTGTTAAATTAAGGCTTTTTAAATAATTATTTCTGTAATAGTATGTGAGAACATTTTAAAAGCCCATGCACAGCCTTCCCAGGATTAGCTTTGAGTTCACTAACAGGCAGTCTGTAGAAGGGATGTATTAAGGTCCTGTTGCTACTTAAAGGAGTTCCTTTGTTGTAGAACAAAAACTGGCCTACACGTAGCAGTAATTTCTGTTTAAGGTATATAAGTTACAGGCCTACTCTTTGAGGTTGTTTACCCTTGGAGCTACACTGCTTATTTCCACTGTTCATCTGGTTAAATTTAGCCTCTGTCCAAGCTGATCACCCCCCTTCACACACATGGCACATGGCACCTGTTCTAGGCCAGTGGTCTATTTTAGGAGCTTCTTAATATGGTCAACTTATTCATTAATCTCAAGAATATTTCTTTTGATATCAGTGATTTCTTTCCTGATGTGTTGCATTTAGAAAAAGCTGTTTTTAGTTTTTGTCCTGTTATTTCATTGATGTTTGTTTTCTTAAAGCTGTTAGTTTTTTAATGTTAACGTTTGCTCATCAGATGATCTGGACATCAGAAATTTTTCATTTTTAAGACACTGCTCCTTTCTGGAGCTCTGCATGAGCCTTTTTGCTTGGTAACATATTCTTAAAACATTTAGTAGATAAGCATGGCATACAATCCTACATGCAGACATGCTTTTCACTCTGTCCATGCTTAGACTGTGGAGCAATACAATCCATTAAAGACAGACATCAATAAGAACCAGTAAAAGTAATGTGTACTTAGAAAACCTGTATTATATACAGTGTTACTGAGTAACTTGAGTTCAGAAAAGAAATCAGCCAGCACTTACCGACAGCAACAGTGAAGGAGACAGAAGAGGAGTGGAGAGGGGCTCTGTGTGGCTGCTCCTGCAAAGACAGCAGCTGTGATGGGCAGACCTCAAAATAATCTGGTAGGGGACTTATTCAAACCCACTATAGAACACCCAAGAGTGAGGCCACTCCAACAATCAAGACTCTTGCTATATGTTAATTCAGTGACTTGTATAAAGGTTTCTTGTTTTAAAGTTCTATTAAATAAGAACATAGTTTATTCATGTTACCCCAGAGCTTTTTACTTTTTTTCTGCAAGTGCTTTTACCCAGCATTTTCAGAAAAAAAACCCAGACCAATTGATTATTGAAGCGATTAGTACTGATAGCAGTAATGATGACACTGTGTTCCTAGCCATAACAAGAGGCACCAATATAATCTGTTCTGATGTTTATATAGTTGCTGAGTAACAGCATGGACAGTGGCAAACTGTTATTTGTTTAATTGTGCTGAGGCTGACAGTGTTAACTGTTACTAAAACATGTCCCTCCACACAGGTTCTTGTTTTTCTAGAGTATTATAAATGTGAAAATAGTGGTTCTGGAGCCTTTAAAGTCAACCTGAAATAAAAATTGATATTTTTTTTTGATCGTGTTAGTTCATGTCACATTAAGCATGGGTTATTATGCCATATAGTTTCAAAGCCAAAATTTTTAATCTTTTGTAATCTGCAAAATGTAATGACTTTCTCTCGCCTTGTCCTTGTCTTCTTTTAGGCTCGTCACCATGTTCCAGTAGGCAGGGAGAATAATATTAACTAATAATATCATGTTTCACCTCCTCCTCCTACTACACCCCGTCTATCAGTGAGTAACATACTCAGCCAGCTCAGAGACCCTCCCTCATATCATGTTTCGCTTGGAAATACGTAATTGGTACAAAAGAAAAATGCAATCTATTCCAATTTATGTTGACTTTAATATGGCTCAAAAAGCATAATTCTTGTAAAATGTATATTCTGTGCTTCGGCCACTGTAATCCTCATTCACAAGCACAAATAACACCCTCCTATAACATGGCTTATTAAGCTAAATGTAATTACAGATTTATGTTGCTTTAATGATGCTTTAATTAACCTGATACTGATCCAGAATATGTCTGCTTAGAAGGTTTTGCATCCAGAGCCATTACCTTTACGTTTGATACCATTATTAAGACAAATTTAAAGCATAAAATGATGATGTAATTATTTATAACGTTTGTAATATGTGTAAAATACTAAATGTACATTCCCGATCACCCTGAAATGCTGACATTGATACCAACCACTAAAGTGCTGTCATTGTTAGCGTTTTCACTAACACAGCATTAGCTTCTGTGTGAAAAGACCTTTTGATGAAGCGTATATCACCCCTCTCTCAGAGTGGGATGCTTTCACAGTGCGGACCTGTGCTTGTATGGATGTGCCTGTGGTCTGTGAAACCTACGTTAAAACACCAGACAATAGACTCCATCACTTCGATATCAGATCACGGATGAGCATGGCAGCATCACTTATGGAACCTTAAGCTGACATCGGAGTGTAGGAAAAAGAACAAACTTTGACTTTTATTGGCTCTCAAATTTTCTCGGATGTATTATGGGGATCTACGGCTGAATGGGAAGGCCAAATAACTCTCCACCTGGACTCGGGCTGGTATGTTCACTTTGAGAAAAGCACTTAAGCTATAAAAAAGACTGCTGATTTTCTGACTGATGGATTTATGTTCTGTTATTGACAGCCATCTGGCCTCATCATAAATAGCTTTAAAGAACAGATACACAATTTTATACATAACAAGGGCCATTTGCATAGCATGTGAGTGGAGATAACAAGTTTATTTCCAGACCAAAAAATGAAAGTGTTATTTTATTTCTCACATTGCTGTGCTAGAGATACAAGCATCTGACACTTCAGTCTTTAGCCTGATTTCTTTAGTTTTACTATAATGCTACAGATACATTGTATTTTTGTAGTCTGTTTCCCCTCATCATGCATGGTGTTGTGCAAAGGGACCGGTTTTTTGCTGACGGTGTTGAATGGGGATTATGTGTGGACCACATGTCCAGCCCTTTTGTTTATGCCTTTTTGTTGTCTTTTTTGTACCTCGTGAGTAAATCGATGTAGGAACTACAGATGAAAGGGAAATATGCATTGACAGGGGCTTTTCTCCAATGCAAAGGTCACCCGGAGCAACAGAGTTTTAGCTGGGTCTGTACAGAAGCCACAGCTCGGCAATGTGGGCCAAGCACCACAGTGTAGTTGAACCTAAAGAGCAAAGGCAAAATCATGTCATTAAACTACATAAAGAACTTCTATGAGGGATTTGTAAGTAAGCCAAAGCCTATGTGTCTGTTGTTTTTCACATATTTTCTATGAGTTGTTTGTTGTTTATTACTCTATTTTTATTTTATACATTTTGTCGCATAATTGAGAATCTGCTTGCAAAGTCATCGAGGTGGTATAGCATCAAACTGACTCAGTTTCACGCACATATGGATTCTATTATTGTAAATTTTCTTTGATTCCTTTTTTTTTAATTGGTGTTTGATGAATGAATAGAAATTTTCAGTAATTTTGTTGGAACCTTCAGACAAGTCAAATCATTTGTCTTTCGGCCATTACACATATGTACCAAGTTGTTTTGTTTTTGTGTTTGTACGTTTGTGTTAGCTCCGGCCACCAACTGTGATTGGTCAGTTCCACACCCTATTCTTTGGCTCTGTGCGTATGTTTTTCCTCGGGGTTCTGGGATTTGCAGTTTATGGCAATGAGGCTCTCCACTTCAGCTGTGACCCTGACAGGAGGGAGCTGAACCTTTTTTGTTACAACCAGTTTCGACCGATAACACCTCAGGTAAGGTCGTTTTAAGACACCAAAGGGAAAAAGGTAGAAATACACATATTCAAAAATACATTGTAGAAGACACTATACATTTTCTACCAAATCATTTTTGCATGGTTCTTTTGCAGGTATTTTGGGCTTTACAGCTTGTGACAGTTCTTGTTCCAGGGGCTGTGTTCCATCTCTATGCAGCTTGTAAAAACATAGACCAGGAGGACATTCTTGAGAAACCCATCTACACTGTCTTTTACATCATTTCTGTTCTTTTGCGAATCATCCTGGAGGTGGCAGCATTCTGGCTGCAGAGCCATCTCTTTGGATTTCTGGTTCATCCTCTGTACTTCTGTGACGCCAGCCCACTGGAAAAGGCCTTTAACTTCACCAAATGTATGGTCCCAGAGCATTTTGAAAAGACTATCTTCCTCAGTGCAATGTACTTATTCACCATCATCACTGTGGTTTTGTGTATTGCTGAGATTTTCGAAATCCTCTGCAGAAGGTTCGGCTATTTGGGCAACCAATGACAGCTCTGAACCATCTTGTGAACTTTCATGTTAAATGTTTAATTTTTCATATTTTGATGACTGTTAAACATCCATCCAACTGTTGTTCTATTACTTCTCATGAAGCATATTAAGCATTTAATCTCAGGTAGAATGGAATGTGACTGTGAAATGTACCACACTTGAGTCTTACTTTGGTTACATAATACTAACAAGCTTTTAACTATGTTTAGCTTTTAAGGTATTTTCTGTTGTACTGACAGAAATCTATTGAAGTGTATCCCTGTCATTTCTGACCTATAGTGTCAAGGAATTTGGTTTTTCTGTACTGTTGCTGGAGCGTGTCATAATATTAAACATTTTTAAATTAGTGTCATAAATAGCTTCTGAGTTTTTGTGAACACTGAACATCAGTGACAGACAGGTATTAGGGATGGACTCAGTACGTTGCCTGTGTAAGGGCAACATGATGTTTTGTTGATGTTTTTTTTTTTAATTCGGATTATTTTATGCATTTTCAGTGGAAGAAAGTATAAGGCAAACTTTATAAACTCTAAAAGTGTTGTTGCAATATATTAAATAAAAAAGTGTTGCTCAGCTTTCCTTATTAAACTTTTATTTGTAAGTAATTTGAGGTAAGAGCATTGCTGACAAATGCTTATCATAGAACTTTAATATACCTTTTTTCCCATTCCTAATGGACATCTTGTAATCAGAGAGGAACAACAACAACAAAGAACTCAATATCACAGAGAGATCAGCTGCCTTTATGGGCAATAAATAAACATTTCTGAGTATTTGTGAATGATGTTCATGTAAGATATATATCAGACCTTTGTGATATATCAAATGCAATAAATACATTCAAACTAATTGAAATAAAATGATCTATCAGTTATAATGTAAACATGACATGAAACATCCTTCTCGTAACTAACTTTATCATGATCTCAGTGTTTTTAACACTCCGACAACAAATATAAATTCCATCTATAGTATATTGTAAGTGAACACTGAAAAGAAACATTACTTTGTTCTTGTCCCAAAATATTTTATCATGCTACTAGATTTCCTCTGTAGGTCTAATGCAAGATACTGATAATACTTCCCTTTTGAGACATTTAATAAAAATTCCACCTTAAAACTGTATACAATCAAACAGACAACTCATTTGATGGCAAGAGAAACCTATAAAGACATCAAACCTCTTGTCCATCTGTTTTCACACTGGACACTAGAAAAAAGTAATTACAGTACATGATTATGTGTGTGTGTGTGTGTGTGTGGGTGGTGTTGGATAGATTACTTAGAAAACATAATCAGGCACTGAATATTAATATTAATGAAAATCTTGTTGATTACTAAAAAATGGATTCTAATTGATCAATTTTTGATTACTTTTACAAACCCAATTCCAAAAAAGTTTGGACTGCAGGTAAAATATGTAAAATAAACAAAGAAAAGAGTGATTTATAAAAGAACTTTGACCTAAAACAATACAAAGACAAGATATTTAATGTTTTACCTTATATTTTTGTGAATATACATTGAAATTAAAGTTGATTCTTGCAAAATGTTACAAAAAAGTTGGCATATGGTCAGTCTAAGACCAGCAAGGTTTTGAAATGTTCACAACTTAAACCAGTGATGCGATCATGCTTGAATATAAAAGGAGCATCCAGGGAAGGACTAGTTCTTTATGGGCGAGGATGAGTTGAGGCTCACCAAAAGTGCAAAGATAATGAAAAAACTTTAAGAATAACATTCTTCATCCAGAGATTGCAAGGATTTTAGGTCTTTCACTCTCTACATGCATAATTTCTTGAAAAGATTTTCAAAGAAATCTCTGTGCATAAAAGACAAAGCCAAAAACCACAGATGAACACCCATGATTTCATCTCATCGACCCCACAGACAGCTCTGCATTCAAAACCGACATGCTTCTATGATGCATATCGTCACATGGGCTCGGGAATACTTTAAAAATGTTGTGAATAAACACCAAAATAAATAATATTTACCACTGCATCCACAAATGCAAGTTAAGACTTAATCATTGTGCACTGTGGAAGTCATAGGTCAACAATATCCAGAAAAGCTGCTGACCTTTCTGGGTTCAAGCTCATCTGAAATGGACTGGTGCACAGTGGAAACCTGCACTGAGGTCTGAAGTCAACCTTTCTGAATAATTATATAAATAATGGATGTTGTGTTCTCTGGGCCAAAGGAAAAGGACCATCCAGATTGTTACCAGCATCAAGTTCCAAAGCCAGGGTCTGGCTGTGGGGGGTATTAGTGGGTAACTTGCACATCTGCAAAGGCGCCATTAACGCTGAACACATTTTAGGGCAACATATGCTGCCCTTTTAGACACTTTTTCAGGAATATTCATATTAGAGATAATCTCTCAATTATATGTGTAAACATAACAACATTATTTCAACATGACAACACCAAGTCACATTCAGCACAGCATAGCTGCATAAGCAGGGAGTGTGAGTACTATTCTGGCCCGCCTGCAGTCCAGAATTGTCTCAGTGAAAATGTGTCTTCTTAAGCTCAAAATATGACAAAAAAGGTCCTGTGTGGCTGCACAGCTGACGACATATATAACAAAGAAATGGCAAAAGAATCTGCTTAGTTTGTGGATTAGTTTGTGTCTTCAGTCCCCAAATGATTATTAAGTGCTGCTAAAAGGAAAGATGATGTAACACTGTGCTAAATGTGCAATGAACAATGAATTTCATAAGTTAAAACATATAAAATATATGGTGTTTTTGTATGGTTTTCAATTTAATACAAGTCAAACAGAATTTACTAATCACTGTTTTCTGTTTGTATTAGCATTCCACATACTGTCCCAACTTTTTTGGAATTGGGGTTTAGTTTCATTATGGTGTCTTAATTGTTAAATGTCAATGTAAATACAAAAAGATATTTTAGTCAGCTACATTATTAGTATTTATGATTTCAGTACAAAAAATGTAAATATATTTATATTTAATATAAACATTTTTATATTTTTTGAATAATGCCTGATTATTAGCTTAATATATGTGAACATAATTCAAAATGTAATCATGTTATGCTTAGAAAAACTGTCTGAACTGCATTCTGGGCTGATTTCAAGTAATGTACTTTTCTCATTACCCAAATGCATAATGTAGTTTATATATAGTAATATGTAAGCCATCATTTTCATAACCTGAATACATAATCTAATTCATATGTAATCCATTACTATCCAACACTGTGTGTATATTAATGTATTTATGTGCATATAATTGACTTAACAGTGGCTGGAATGTTGTGCCATTTGATTAAATCAATCATACATTGACTCCAAATAGCCCAAATATCAACTGCACAGCATCAGTCAATTAGTTCATAAGAAAGTGCTTTAAATAGTCATCTAAATGCATAACATTTACTAATTACTTTAGGTTATCATAGCAATAATATGCTGTCATAAGATAAACTACATGAACAACATCTAGAGATGTCACTTTGTTGCATAAGTGCCGAAAGTATAAAGGTTAAACAAGGGGGAAAGGTGTACAACTTTCAGAAAAGCTAAAGCTTTAAATAAAAAGAAATTCACATTCCAATTTAAAATTTCAATTACACAAAAATGTAACTACATTTTAAAGTTGCACTAGCAAACATAACATGTACAGCTATATACCAAGCAATATCATAGCACTGCTGAATGCAATATTCAAACTGTAAAATGTTAATTAAGTGCAATTTCAAAAGCATCAACAGTACCTCAGATCAGGTTGACTTAACACTGTATTCACTGCATTAACAATACATCCAACAATTCCATCTCACTGAGGCATAGGCAAAAAATTCTAAAAAGGCACAAGCCGATCAGATGGGGTGACTTCAATGATGCAGCTGATTTGGAAAGTAAAGGTACTTTTAAGTTGCTGAAAAAATAGAAACAGTTTACAAAATGCAGTTTCTGCTATTCAAATAAATCTTTTTAAATACTGATCTCATGTTCTGTGTTTGTGAACTGCATATGTATGTTTCATATGGCCTTATATGCATGAGTGAACAACATGAAGTTTACAGAAATTTGAGACCAATATGGCAGTCTGACCTAAATGTGGTGTTGTGCATGTGTATGCAAAAGTGTATGCATATACTCATAATTTGTTTATGCCATATATTGCACCTTACCAAAACCATAGCTTCTCAGTCATCCTCTGAGCTTCATGTTAGCTTGACATAACAAAATGTTTTGTACAAAGCTGTGTGAATCAGCTTTTTGGAGGATTTTCAATTACATCCTCTGAAGTGATCCTGAGGGAGGCAATAGCCTCTGCACAGATATGAACACTCTCCTCTTGCTTCTTGTCCTTGCTGGCAAGACCAATGCAGGAGGGTGGTTTCTCCTTCTTCTGAGATGATGGGATGCTTATTCCAGGTCCCGGAACAGGAACTGATGTCTGGCTGGAATTAGCCCTCTCTGATATGCCCCCCTGTGGTAGTGACTGAGAGTGTCTGTCTACAGCACCAGATGGCGATACAGAGGGCATTCTTAACCCTCCAATAGGAACCATTGGGATGGGAGTTGGTACCTGCCGTTGAGAGTGTAAAGGCAAGTGGCTGAAGATGTCTTGGCGTGGCAGAGTGGATGCATCATTATAACTGCGAAGGCAGTCGCTGACATAAAGATTTTGAAGAATGCCCTCACGCTGGTCCTGCAATAAACATAATTACAAGTTTATTACTAAACTGTAATTAAATGATTACTGATATTATCGATTTAAAAAGTTACATACCATTTCTGGGTGCATTCCAATGGGTTGTCTTAGGGGAGAAGCTTCTAATCTCGTTCCCCTGCCTTGATCCAAGTAGGCTCTGTGCTGGTAGGACCCCCTGCGTGAGGATGTAGCCTTGAGCATGCCTCTGTGCCGACCACGTGGGGAGGTCGCTCGATGCCTAGATACGTCTGTCCCTGGTGACATGGGTCTTACAGGTGAGAGCTGGCGAATGGGTGAGAGATCTCTTCTGATGTTTAGATCCCTCCTTGGTGAGATGGCCCTCAAAGGAGGTGTATCTTTTCCTGGAGACAGATGACCTTGTGGAGACAGATCCCCCCTTGGACATATATACCTTTGATGAGGTGAATCCCAACAAGGAGAAAGCAAATGAGGTGGGCAGGGATCAAAGGAGCTACTTGCTTGTTCTAGAAGTAGATCATCCTCACTACCAAGAGAGCAGGCCTCATATCTTTCCTTAGGATTGTTTCCTGTGTCCAAGCTTTTGGTGGAACAGCTGGAGGGAGATGTCTTGTTAACTGTACAGGGCTGAGGACTTGTGCTCCTGGAGATGGTTCTGGGTGTGGAGTCACCATCATATTCATCATCCTCCTCATCGTCTGGTTCGTCTCCATCTTCATCACCACCATCAGAGTCATCTGCATCTGAGAACTGATGTTTAATGGTTGTCTCTACTTCCAGTCTGATGTCTGAGGCTTTCTGTATATCATCTTCATGATCTGAAAGAAACATAGAATCAAATGATCTGAACTTTCTCTTTTGGAGATCAGATGTAATGATTAATTGTTTGCATTTGTATCCTTTAGAAAAGAGTTAATGCTGAAAGAGACTATATAAAAAAATGATAAGAGATAAAGGACATACCTGCATCATCTGTATTGTCCATGGCAATGGGCGAAAGCCCAAGCTCAAGGCATTTTTTCATGTGAGCTTTTGACTTCATATGCTTGGTGAGATTCCCTTAAAAAGAAAAGGTATCATTTAACCTCAAACTAACCCTAAACTAATGCAGACCAACTTTTAATATTTGATATTAACATGCAGTAAAACCAACCTTTCGTTTTAAAGGCAAAGTTGCAGCACTTGCAAACATAAGGCCTCACATCTGTGTGAGTACGTATATGTTTCTTCAGCATGCTAGGCTTCTTACAACGAATACCACACTCTTCGCAAATGTACTTCCCTCGCCCACGGCCCCTAACATACACGTAGTCCTCATTTGACTTGTACCTGAGTGATGAAGCCACATACAGAGAACACCTTTAAATCAAAACATTCACTGTACATCAACAGACATTTATTTAAAAAAAAGATGAATGATTCAACAAACATTTTTGGCAAGGATGCTACTCACCCCCCTTCAAAAATCTTTACTCGAACAGGCTCTGTTTGCTTTACAGAAGCTTCTTTGTCTTTGCTGTCCTCATGTAAACATTTGCTTTTTTGTCTGACATCTTTCTTTCTTGTGTCATACTGTATGTCATCTCTTCTATTCTCCACAGTTCCCTGTGAAATGAAACGACAGTATAAAACTGTACATTGACATGTATTGTATGTTTTACATGTTTACTGAGTAGATTAATAATGATAAAATAACTAACCTGTTCCAGCTTTTGATTCCACAAATTTGAGGTAACAAGTACCCCAGGCTGATACATAGCTGCTATTGTATATGTGGTATTTTGGCCCTTCTGTTTGGATCGGAGAAGAGCAAGAACCATTCCAGTGCTTAGATTGGGTGGATTTGGATTATGGCGTCGCACAAACCAAGAGGCATACACTGAGAAATGAGGGGATGTCTGAGTGCTGTTAGGCTTAACAGAATTGAGATAACACCAGCTCACACAGGTTGTAGTGTGAAGACTTGGAAACTGCGACAGTATCCAAGCACTGGCAATATCTCTGGGCAACGCAGGTATCACATAACCTTGACTAGTGGCAGTTTGCACTGGCATTGGCAAATTATTCATTGTAACACTGCTGGACAACGGAAACCCTGCCTTACGGTGAAAATCTATATTGGGGTCTTCCATATCCATCTCCTCGACAGACACTGATGGGTCCTGAATGTTTGTTGACTGGGTCTCCTTCTTGAATTTCTCTTTTTCCCCTTCAGGATGTCCTAATTCTACAGCACTCAGTTCTTCCACAATCTGGCCATACATTTTCTCTTCTTTGACTCGTTTTTGCTGCTTTGCTTCAATGAAGAGCTCAATGCTACTTGCAGGAGAAAGCATTCGCTTGTTTGCTCCACCACTGGGGGCCTCTGTGGTTGAGATGGTTCTAGAGGTCAAGGACAGAGGTATGCCTGTATTAAGCTTTGCAGGTGATAATTGCGGGTTGTGCAGCAGTCCTCTAGAGTGTCCTGATATTTGAGATAGATCAAAACCTATCCTATGCTGTGTTGTGATGTTTGCAAGTCGATTTTGGGATGTGACATTACTGTTTCCTAAGTTTATAGAATTCTGAGAATCCAGAATATGAGATATGCTTGTGTATGTGATATTTCCATAGCATGGCACTTGCATCTGAATTCTGACAGGAACCAACAAACCACATGACCTCTGACTGGTTAAAGCAGGCTGAGCTTGTGAAAGAACTGCTATTGTTGACAAGACATTGGTGATGCTCTGTGGATGATCTTTTGGTAGATCAGTCAGGGCAATTCTGGGATCCTCAGGTAGTTTTGGATCTTCAGGATCTTTCTTTATTTTCTGCTTTAGACCACGAAGTTCATGCTTCTGTACAGTCTGGGAAAGATGAATTGGTTTATGACATGGGATTTGCACTGGCTTGCACGACAAATCTGTTGAAATTAACTGTGGAGAGAAACTTCCATGCATCAAGGAATGCCTTATGCCTTTCTCAATGCCAACAGAGCCTCCTTCCATGAAAAAATGTTTGTCTGGTGAAGACGCTCTCCTTCCTATTTCAACTTGATCTGAGCTGCCTTGAATAATATTAATATCAAAAGATTTGTCACGTGTTATAATCTCTGGATCGCCACTCAAAGACGCCTGTCTAACCAAGTAGCCTCTTCTTCTCTCCTGATGTCTGCATGCACTGGCATAGATGTCACTTTGCATAGAACTGGATGAAGAAGAAAGGTTGCCATAGTCAAAGGACTGGCTTCTAAATTCTTGTAACTCCAAGGGTAAATTGCAGGGTGCCTGTTCTGATGCAGAGCGCCTCATCTCTCTGTGATGACTTAGTGAGCCCCCTGGCACTGCTAAGAACTCCAAAGGCCTACTAAATTCATCCGATTTAGCTGGCGATGCAATGTTAATACTCTCCTCTCTGTCGAGTGATTGAGAGAAACTTGAGCTGTGAGACAAATTGCTATCTTGACTTGGGCTTCTGGAAAGACTAGTACAAGCAGATTCAAAGCTAGATTCACCGGAGGAACATTCCATCTCAGCTAATCGCAAACGTTTTTTTTTCGGAGGTAGCTTTTCAACTGGGAATTTTGACAAGGTTTCACTCCTCTGAGGCCACTGGAATTCCTCCCCATGTTTTTCCTTTGATTTCACCTGCACATCTTGTAGCTTTTCTGGTTTGTCAGGCTCCTCAGTAACTCTTATCTCAGGAACTTGTATACCAGACTGAGATGCAAGTTGTTTAGATAGGTGAGACCTCTGGTATAGCAAATTACTGCCACCCCATTGCTTCTCTGTTTTTCCAGATTTAATGAGAAGATCAGTTTTGTGTCTTTCTTTAATTTGCTCCTTTTCCAATAATTGGTAAAGGTTACTTTTATCAAATTGATGAAACTCAAAGTCAGTGGACTTTTCTGCAGAGCCTAGCTTGCTTAATGAGTTTGTGTGTTGAATTACAGAGATAACATTGCTGCCAGCCCTTCTCTCTGTGTCAGTATATGTAGCATCATGAATATCTTGCTTTGTATCAAGGTCCCCTGAGAGTTGAGGCAGGCCTGATGGCTTATGTTGTGTCAGAAAGTCTTCCTCTTCCATGGTGTTCTTACCCTTTCTTCGTTTCCTTGTGGCATTTTCAATAAGGTGGCTTTGAAATATGAGGGATCTCTCAAATTCTGGACAATTTTGGTCATCTACTCTGTGGATTTTCAGCCCACAAACCAAAGAAGTGTGGTTATCTGATTCTGTGTGCCCTTCATGAGCAGATTGCTCAAAAGCAGCCTGTCTCATAAGTTTTCTCATGCCTACTGACCCGCGATAGGAGACTTCATCATTTGTCATCCTCTCATCAAAAGAATTACTACTTCTTAGTCCTTGTGGTGCATTCAAGTTGGAATCTGATGGGGTTGGAAGAGAGTTGCTTCGTAAAAGTAAACCACTTTCTGGTGGGTTTTCCAAAAGTTCTGCACTGCATTGAAACATTTCAGGGATTTCCTGATAGTTATCTTCTTGAAAAGAGTCTGATTCAATTTTGATTGATCTGACTAGGTCTTTTTTGCGTCTGTGCAAATGGGATGCAGCTTCCCCAGGCACCATGCCTTTGGTCAATTTAATCATAAAACTCGATGAAGTATCATTTATGTCTGTCATGCAAGTCTGTACAGTGATTGATTGCCTTGGCTTGGAGCTTGGTCTATAACACTTTCCAAACATTATTTCTTGGTATGACTTGGCACTTGCACTTGCTTGATTAAACTGCTGCTCTGCACTCTCTGAGCGTGAAAAGTAACCAGAGTCAGTGCTTCCTTTGCTGTACGAACTGGGGAGGGAGAGAGACTGGTCTGATTCCTGACTTCTTTTCTCGGAGAGCCTAAGGGCAAGTCTTTGTTTGATGGTGGAAGACTCAACTTCTTGGTCCACCTGAGTGACAATTGCAGGTGGCATCATTTCTCTGAACTGCCATAAAGATATTTTTCCAGATGGTGACACAGCCTCCTTTTTTGAGGAACTCTGAGAGGTCATCACATTTTCAATTTGTATGAGTTTACCAGACTCTTCTTGTATAGCATCCTCTCTGTCTTTCATCAGGATATAACTCTCTTTGTCCAAGTCTTCAGTCCCCTCTTCATCCGTGTCAGTGCTCTGCTCAGCATCAGAGTGCATCTCCCCTTCTCCGACTCCCAGTTCTTCATCCATGCCAATATGTTTACTGTCTTGTTCTGAAAATGGAACCAATCCTGCTTTGACAGCATGCGTATGAGACTTTCTGTGTTTGTACAAATTGCTTTTAGTTTTAAATGAGAAACCACAAGGAATACAAGGATAGGGTCGCTCACCAGTGTGAGAACGTATATGCTTCTTCAGCACGCTGGGCTTGGCACAAGCTCTCCCACAGTAGTGGCAAACATATTTTCCTGTCTTCTTTGGTTTCTGCTCTTTTTTGTGCATACCCTCTGACAGCAATTCAACCCCTGACTGAAGCCCTCGTTTGCCAGGAGGAGGGATAGTTGGTGTCTTCCTCCAGGTGTGGATTGGATACTGCTCACTAGGTTGTAAGGTGTGTCTAGCCTCTGACCCCACTGTCATTATCGCCATACTAGAACCTGACCTTATATCTCCTGTCTGGGGTCTCTCTGTCAGTTGTATTTCATCCTCAGCACACGGAATATGGCCTCTTTGAGTCATTTTAGCATCAGAATGTTTTCGTTCTCTCAATCTGTCTCCTTGTCGAGAACATCCTGCTCCAGTAGAGGATTCCGAAGTCTCCATGATGCAAATGTAAATTTTTTTATCATCAGTAATTATGCTTGCTACATTTTTGCTACTTCACTTTATCATGTTAAGCATCAGGTCTGATAGAATCAAATGTCCTACTTATTTTGGTTTAACAAGTGTATCTTTTATGTGCCATTAATGCCTAAGGTTCCTTTGGATAGACACAGTCTTTGGGCAGATGGCATAATTTTCAGAAAAAAAATGTGGATGAATTTCTTTCCATATTCAGCTCTGCATTTCTTTTTCAGAAAGTGCTTAAAAGCAGTCTTCAATGCACTGAGAAATTAGACATGCATACCAGCTCCAAGTTATCTATGGGAAACAATATAAACAATATACTCATATTATTTCCATAAGCATTTTGTTGATAACTATCAATGTGTCATAACAATAAGATGCTAACAATCAATGTTTACAGTATGTTTCTGTGAACAAAAAGCCAGCTTACATAATTCAAAAAGGACAGACAGAGCACAAAGACTCACCATTGCCATATCAGAGAGTTGCTGTGGATTATCTGCAGGAATCATCTCTGTCATTTTTTCAGGCTTGAGAATATCATGAGATATTCCATTGAACTGCAAAGCCAAGAAATTTTCATTAAGCAAGGAAAAAAATAAATACATTCATGCAACTAATAAGTATTCCAAGGCCTGCACAAAACATGAAGAGTTTGTATTGCTTTTACCAAAGAAAAAGTGCAATTACAAATGTACAGCCAGATAGTTCCCACTCTTTGTTTTAAGACATCCTGTTCAAAAATACAAACAGAAACATGACTGAGTGACTTATTAACTATCAACTTATATGGCTGTTTCTCAGACAAGGAATAAACCTACCCTGTGACTAAACTGAAGTGCTAAAGGTCACCTTCCACTGAAAACATTTTAGTTTAGGCTTAGGTTTAATCTGGTGAAACTGGTCCCTAAACTTTTAAGAACTATGAACAGAATCTAACAACCACATGACTAATCAATAGGCATAGGTTTGGCAATGCCTATTAATAGAGTGAATAGCAAGCTCAATCATCATATTCATATACAGTGTTGTGAAAATGTATTTCCTGATTTCTTCTATTTTTGCATATTCGTCATTCTTCTGACTTTTCGTTTCATTTATTGACCATAAAAAAGTTATCCAACACTAACTGACATTGTGTGAAAAGCAATTGCCCCAAATCGAAGTTAGTTGATAATTGGGATCAATTAAACCAAACACACCCAGACTTGATTACTGCCAGCCTGGTTCTGGAATCTAAACATAATTTAAGTAAAACATTTCCAGCAATGAATGTGTATACATGTACTTAATAGTCTGATCATAATCGGATTTCTGCAGTTATCCGATTATTCAAATGGTCATGTAAACACTATACTCCAATCTAGAAATCCGATTAAGACATCTGATGAAGAGAGCTGGATTTTGGCTCAGTAATCGGATTTCTCAGTGCGTATATACTCGTACTCCGATTTCTATCGGATTTCTCAGTCTGCGTACACGTGAGAACAGGCGGTGGGTATCGCAAGATGGCAGCGAAACACTTTTGGATACGGTAAAGTGGTGCAAAGTTTAAAAAAAATGTGCCGTGAATTTTGAGTTTTACGTAACGTGAGTTTAGTGGCTGGTTGCAATGTAGAAATCTGATTACTGCCTGACTCATGTAGACCTGGAGTTTTCCCATTATCTGATTACTCAAGAGCATGTAAACGTATTGATCGGATTACTGACAAAATCAGATTTTCTGCAGTTATCGGATTATTAAGTGCATGTAAATGCAGTCAATGTGAAGCAGACTAGACCACAATTAAAAGAAATTTCAAAAGAGATTAGAAAAAAGTTGTTGTAATATATTAATATGGAAAGAGTTACAAAGTCATTTCTAAGGCTCTGGGACTCCAGAGGGGACTCCACAGCAAGAGCCATTATATCCAAAAGGACTTGGAACAGTGGTGAATCCTCCCAGAGGTGGTTGGCCTCCCAAAATTCCTCCAAGAGCACAGCACAACTCATCCATTAAGAACTCGGACAAACTCTAAGTTCCTGCAGGCCTTGCTGACCTCAGATAAGGCATTCATTATTCCACCATTAGAAAGAGACTGGGCAAAAATGGTGTCCATTGGAGTGTTGCAAGGCGAAACCACTGCTAACCAAGAGGAACATAAAGCCTTGTTTCACATTTGCCAAAAAAACACCTTAATGACACCACAAGCCTTTTGGAATAATATTCTGTGGACTAAAAAAAAGTGGAACTTTTTGGAAGACAATGGTTCTGTTACATATGGTGTAAAGCCAACAGAGAATTCCATAATAAGAACATCATATCAACAGTCAAAAATGGTGGTGGTAGTGTGATGGTGTGGGGATGCGTTGCATATTCAGGGCTACATAACTGATGGAACCATGAATTCTCTAAAATAATGCAGGAGAAGAGTCTGGTCATCAGTACATGATATGAAGCTTACATGCAATTGGGTTATGCAGCCCTCTGATGTAGCTGAATTAAATATTTAATTGAAATATTTAATATTTAATTGAAAACAGTACAAAGACAACATATCAAATGTTGAAACTGAGCTTTCTAATAAGTTGGGACAGGGACATGTTTACCACTGTGTTGCATTACCTCTCCTTTTAACAACACTCTGTAAGCATTTGGGAACTGAGGAGAACAGTTGCTATAGTTTTGAAAGTGAAATGTTTTCCCGTTCTTGCTTGAGACAGGATTACAACTGCACAACAGTTCAGGGTCTCCTTTGTCATATTTTTCATTTCATAATGCTTCAAATGTTTTCAATGGGTGACAGGTCTGGACTGCAGGCAGGCCAGTTTAGCACCTGGACTCTTTTACTACAGAGCCATGCTGTTGTAATATGTGCAGAATGTGGTTTGGCACTGTCTAGCTGAAATTGTTCAGCATTAATGGTGCCTTCACAGCTGTGCAAGTCACCCATGCCATGTGCACTAACGCACCCCCATACCATCATAACAAGCTGGATTGTCCCTCTCCTCTTTAGGAGGACGCTGTGTCCATGATTTCCAAAATGAATTTAAAATTTTTAAACATCAGACTACAAGATACCTTTCTGCTTCGCCTCAGTTCATCTCAAATAAGCCAGGGCCTAGAGAAGGTGGCAATATTTCTGGATCCTGTTTTATGGTTTCTTCTTTGCATGGTAGAGTTTTGCACTTGCACTTCTATATACTTTGTGTATGCACTTTTATGTTTAATTGTGTTTACTTCTAAAAGACTCAGCCTCTCTGGGATGCTTTTTTCATACCCAATCATGTTACTGACCTGTTGCCAATTAACTTAATTAGTTGTGAGATGTTCCACCAAGTGTGTTTTTAGCATTACACAACTTTACCAGTCTTTTGTTGCCACTATCTCAACTTTTTTTAAATGAGTTGCTGGTATCAAATTTAAATGGGCATATATTTTTCAAAAAAACAATTACATTTATTGGTTTCAACTTTTAATATACAGTCTTTGTGCTATTTTCAATCAAATATAGGGTTTATGATTTGCATATCATTGCATTGTGTTTTTATTTACATTTTGCACAGCATCCCAACTATTTTGGAAATGAGGTTGCAAAAACTGTTTTGTCTCATGTTTTCCTCATATTCTCATTATCTTAGCCTATATAAGATTTTGTATGAGGGTCTCAAATCAGTATAACAAGTATTCAAAAATGGAAGAAATCAGGCAGGCAAACATTTATCATTAACTTGTATCTATGACATTTACTGACTGATTGACTGGATGTTCACCTCAATAGTCTATTAGTTGTAGCAGTATAACATTAATAAAAAATGCCTGGAATCTAAGATTCACAGGTTAGCTTGACTGTAGAACTAGTTACAGTATCAGACCATTTTTACTTTCACTGCCTACATGTAGTGATGTACAAATACAGACAATTGACACCTCTGACCCAGGGTTACAGCTGATAGCTGGTAGGGCTACTGTAGGAGGTTTAAATATGCATTCACTTCAGTAGTGGAGCAGTAAACAAACACTGAAATCACAGCACTATCAGACCAGCAAAATGTTGATGTATAGTTGTACAACTGTGCAATCTAAACAGTCTCGTTTTCCATATTACAGTTACTGCAGTTAATTAAACCTGGTTGGCATATCAGAGAGAACAGTTCAATGTTCACACATAATTCATCTCCTCACATACCACAATGTGACTTTAATGAGGTTATATAAGATTATCTGGTTCAGACCTCTGAGCTCATCTTAATTAGGACATCCAAAGACTTCTCACCATTGTATCAGAAAGCACTTCTTTCAGTCTACTTTAAAACGTTGTTACTGTGTCACTTCACTAGATCGAAATACTTTTCAAATGTCCAGCCAGAATTTACACAAGCACAATGGGGGTGGTGTGACCATTGATAAGGAGTGACAGGAGTCAGCAATCAGAGTGTGCCCCTCTCAAGGTCACTCTAACCTCATTCTTGGGTTTCCCTCTGTACTGGAAGATGAATGAGTGAGTGGATGCATGAGTGAAGATGATGATGAAGATGTATCAGTGTCCTCTCAGAAACAAGGAATCATAGAAAGGCAGGTAAGATCTTCTAAATCACAAACTATAAAGAAATCAAAACAGTTCAGTATATTTAACTGTGGTTTTTCATTAATGTTGTCAACATCTAAACAAGTTCTGAGAGTGTTCTAAGAGTTAAGACTGGAAAGAGTAAAAGTTTGACCAACAGTTATGGCTTCTCATTTGGACACCATTCCCACACGTATGCGTTGACACCATCAGCGACAACATCAAGAGTGAAACAACATGCAATAGCAAGTCACGGGAAAATATTTCCAGACTCGGGGGAATGTCATTACGTCATGTATCAGCCCCCCACCGTATCATTAGCCACAAGAGCCAAAGCATGGCAACTCATAAAATAGAGCACTCGTGCAGCTGAAAACTACAGCGGCATCTCACCCAAGAGAGGACCGCATGATGGGTCATTACACAAGCAGTCAAGGGCAGACTCAAGCTGGCGAGTCACCCTCCAGCAAGCACAGCTAAAACATCAAACATAACAATTGTCATCAAGCTACAAACCTGGTGCTCAAATACAGCCTTGTCCAATATCTCCAGTCATATCCAGCTCCCCTCATAATTCCTGTCTGTCATATTCCAGTACATCACCCACAAGAGCAGCCTTTATAAAGCCAAAAAAGCCAAATATATATCCCATTAATGATCCACTTCTTGCTTATTGAGAGTACACTATAAGACCTACTGATGTAAGCGAGTCACCACAGAAAATACCTCACTGAGACGTGTATCCAGGAACAAAAATAGCAAAGGGGCCCTGTAAAGGGTTATGCAACAGCCAACACTGGAGGCCACTTTTGAAGCAGCAGAAAGCAGTGCACACAGATCACTCACCCCACTGTTCCACTGTTCTCATATAGATAAGCATTTACCCCAATAAAGCTGGATCTAGTTTGTCTCAGTCTGTTTTAAAACAACATTTACAGAAAGTTTACAAAAAGACTAAGCATAAGAACAATGAAGACTTTAAAAGCTCTGGTACGTGACAGGACCAGCTGCAT